GGCTGTATGAGGTCACTCCCTGTCACTCTCCGATGTCCCATTATGTGTTCCTGAACGAGCTTGCCGAGAATTGGACGGAAATTCAAGATGGTGGAGCTCCCCATGACGTGTGAGCGCTCCGGGTGCGATGCTGCCGCCGGGATGTCCATCGCAAGGCATCGCGTCGACCGTGCCCAAAAGCCGAGACTGACGGTTGCTAGTGCCCACCAACTTCGGTGTTACGGACGTGACAGTGCGATGTCCGCCAGGTGGGCGAACAGCTCTCGGTCGGTCTTGACTGTGGACGATCTCTCACGTGAAGAACCTGACGACACAACATGTGAGTGCAATCTCATCCATAATCCTAACCTGACTGATGTACATGACAGCCTTCGGTCTCTGTTGCACCAACGACTCGTACACTACCCAGCCGGTCCTTGGATATGTGGGCGCACGTTTGTCTTTTCGGGTCTTTCGCGCGATCTTCGAAGCTGAAGTGAATGCACAGCATCTGGGCAGGCCGACCTCTTAGAAGCTGTCAACTACTTGGAGAGACCATCCGTGCCCATCTCGTCTTCTTCGGTTAGCGCGGCAGTGCGGGAGTCGCCGGCCTTCCATTCAGACGGCTTTGCTTTGACGCCTGCTGCCACACTTTCCGAGAGCACTCGTGATATGCTACTTGAGCATGCATGCCGCCTGTACGAGCTCCCATCCGGTTTTATACCTTCGAGACTGGCACACAAACCTTTGTCTCTTCGTATTCCACCCGCGACATCCCCGGAACAATCCTTCAGGGGCCAAGTCCTTCCGCTACTCCTCATGCTCGACAAGACCTACGCTCACCATCTTCCCACATTATTACTTCTCGGCTGTGTCTATTATGCTTTACAAGACTACTCAAAGGCGCTGCAAACCTTTGAAAACATCATCTCTGTTGATCCCAACTACGTATGTGTGACCTTCCTCGCTTGCGAACTCCCTAATGATGTTATGTTACAGGTGGAAGCCGTCTCGAACAAAGGAAGCACCCTTTCAGCTTTGGGTCGCGAGACAGAGGCGCGTGAACAGTGGATGCGCGCTCTGCAAATCGACTCGACGTACTTTGACTCCATTGTAAGCCGCCTACAATCAACGATCGCTAATCAATTAATCGAATGATATGTAGGAGAGCCTACTCGGGTCCATCATGCAGGAGGGTGTGGGTGGCAATACTCTCGCATACCGTCAAGCCCACGAGCTTTGCCAGGCGTTGCTATCTCGCATCAAGACCATAGACGTCGCCCCTCACAGGATACATCATCTCCAAAGACTCTACTTCATGTCCGGCACGTCGCGCGCTCTCATGGGCGACGTAAATCATCCCGAGAGCTTGCAAGACTACGTATCGGCAATCGAAGTCAGCCTGCACGGAGGCTCGCGTTCGTCCCCGCTCCTTACACTTCGCGATCTCGTGATCGGTACTTGCTTCGCCGCCATGCTTATATGCGATGATCCCTCGCTAGCAATACCCCACGCCATTCTGCACGCCCTCAGCACGCCCGAACACGCATATTCATCGGATATGGTGAAAAGGCCGGACTTCGATATCTTGCGAGCGGTCCATGAATCTGGTGATCGGCTCATACGTGTGATATCGCACGGCGGAGTTCTTCCCGTCATCCTACTCAGACCGGAAGACACGGACCGTTTACTAGCGATTCTCTTTCGCTCAAGTGGAGGGAGTCTTCCCGCTCTCGCACCTCTGGCCGCTGAGGGCACACCTCTTCCTCAAAAAGCTATTGAGCGGACGAACTTCATGACCAGCACTTGTCTTCTCTCCATCGCAAGACGCATGCAAGAATTGCCTCCAAGGACCGCCTTCATCCCCGCGGCGGAGGGTCTGACACTCCGATCCAGTATCTCTCTGGACCTGCTCTTAAACTTCCTCGCGGAAGCACTGTCTCCCTCGCCCTCTACATGCAACAATCTCGGGATCCTCGTCCAGTCGTTGCCGAACACCCGACTTGACTTCAACGACGCAGGGGAACGCGAAATCATCACTGCGAGGGGTGTTGCTCGCGCTTGGTATGACCGCGGATTGAATATGAATCCAAAGCACCCTTACCTCCTCACGAACTCCGGTTCGTTGTACAAAGATGAGAGCAAACTTGGATGGGCCATGAAGTAGACTTTCTTCCGCTTGATCCCGCGCACGTTGTTGACGATGCCCCTTCAGACTCTACAAGCATGCTTTACAGGAGAAGCCTGATTTTGCCATCGCCTTGACCAACTATGGGAATGCATTGAAAGATCTAGTGAGTCTTCGTGTCTACGCTTTGGCAGTCGACACAGAGAGAGCTGAACACTCAACTTTGTATAGAATCGTCCCTGGGAAGCTGCTCCATACTTTAGTCGGGCCATATCAGTTGACCCGGAACTCCCTGAAGCCGTCTGCGGCTTAGCCAATAGTCGCAATGCCATCGGCGACTGGGTGGGACGAGGAGCGATCAACAGCGAGCTAGGTATTGATGACGCTGGGTATATGATTGTGCCTGCGATTGGTGTAAATGGTCACGCAGGGTACCTACGGCGAGTCGCCGAGGTCACCGAAACGCAGCTAGAGGCGGGATACCTCAATAATATCGGCCTTGTCTCCTCTCTTGGGAACCTCGACTTCTGGGTCGACTGGGTAGAGAAAGCCCTAGATGAGCGTCTGACCGGAAGTAGTCGTGCGCGATGGAGAAAGCTGTTCAGACGGTTTTTTGCCGCGTTCAACAGGACGGAGAAACATGTCAATGAGGGCGGGTTTGTTGTGCGATTCGCCGAATGGTTGGCGCGACGTCTTCAGCATCATGCATATAGCAAGGCCTGGGGAGTTGTCTACGCAGATTCGCCAAAAGCGCCGCTGCGACCGAGTGACTTGGTGCACTACCCTCGCTTTCCCATCTCGGCCTTTTGGGATTTCGGAGTACCGGCAGTTCTTCCGTTCCATACCGTGAGTTGACCGCCATGCGCCGTCAAGACATCTAACTCATGTCCCATAGTTCTCATATCCCATGGCCGCACGCATGATTCGACTCATAGCGCATCGGCATGCATTACGGATATCCGTCAACGCGTTGTCGCAACCTTGGCTACCCAGACACATCTACCCTCCGCCAGCTCCTCCTTGTCGGAAGATCAATATCGGTTACGTGTCCAGCGACCTAACTGAAGGTCACCCTCTCGTTCAACTCATGCAGTCCGTCTTCGGGCTGCACAATGCTAACGATTTCAACATTCATATGTACGCGACGAACGCCACCGACAACTCTCAGCGCCGCCGCCAAATCGAGCGTGAATGTGCACAGTTTATCGATTGTTCCAATTGGTCAACGAAGAGCATCGTGGAGAGGATCGTCCAAGACAATATACACATTCGTGCGTGTGGGAGCCACTCAATGTTCGCATCAAACTCATCCGCGTAGTCGTCAACCTCGGGGGATACACGCGGGGGGCCCGCAATGACGTATTCGCGACCCGCCCCGCTCCGATTCAGATAGCGTTGATGGGTTATCCAGGGACCATGGCTGCTGGTGCGCGGATATGCACGATGTGTTCAAAGCGTCGTACCCTCACACAGCAATGTACAGGCTGGATTGATTACATCGTCTGCGACCCCCTTGCATGCCCTCCAGAAATGGCCGCGGCAGAGCGCTGGTCCATTCGCCGCAACAACAAGGACGAGACTTCAAGGTTGCAAGACTCCTTCAAGGAACTGGATCTCGAGACGGATCTCGACGCTGTCGCGGATCCTGAATCACTGAGTGATGACTGGATGTTGTAAGTTATTCTCGCTTGGCGTTTTCATCTTCAGACTCACGTTTCATTCATTGTAGCAGCGAAAAGTTCATCTACATGCCTGTGCGTCCTCCTCATACCTACGGTCACTTCCGATGACGGTCTCTGCAGTTTACGTTTATGGTCACCAATCATCGCCAAGCCAGTCGTGACGATGTAGGGCTGTCCCTGGAAGAGAGACTTGCGGTTCCTTCACGCGTCTTGTGGGAGAACGAGGAGAAACGCCGATTGAAGTGGAGACAACGCGTGTTCCCAGATCTTGCCCCGTAAGCCGTCCAGTCTCTTATGGCGACTGCTCTCAGACATGTGACAGGGAGACCTTCATCTTTGCCAACTTCAACCAGATCTACAAGATGTGTCCTGTAAGTGCCGCACATTCTCACGACGGACCGGGCGGCTCATCAACCGGTCAGACTATCTTCGCGGCGTGGCTGCGCATTCTACAACAGGTTCCCAATTCCATTTTATGGCTTCTAAGATTCCCTGCGCAAGGGGAGGAGCATTTGCGGCGCTTGGTAAGGAAGGCGAACATCTATCCTATCGCTGCCTGACAATGATTCATAGGCAGTACTCTGGGCGGGACCAGAGGTAGCCATCCGTATACGTTTCACTGATGTAGGGTCGAAGTCCGAACACATCACGCGCGCACGGGTTGTAGATCTCTTCCTTGATACTACGGAGTGCAACGCACATACGACCGCAGCCGAGTATGCGTCGGGTTCTGTGGCGCGTTACATATCTCATTGATCATCTTTCTCTAGCGTCCTGTGGTCGGGCACGCCTATCCTTACATGGCCACAATACAGCTACAAGATGTGCTCTCGAGTCTGTGCAAGTATGGCGCGCGCGACAGGATTCGGAGATGGCATGATAGCAACTAGTCTCTCCGACTACGAATCCCGAGCCATCGCGTTCGCTCGTGGACTGGTCTTTGTCGAGACTGAAACCGCGCCGGGAGTGGTCGAACGGCGCGCAACTGGCAAACTAATTGACCTTCGACGGAACCTCTTTCTCAATCGCGATCATATGCCCCTTTTCGACACTGCTCGCTGGGTACGCGATCTCGAGCAGGGTTACCGGGAAGTCTGGAGGCGATGGGTTACAGGCACCGAATTCGAAGGTAGCAAGGAGTGGGAGGCTAATGCGGGCCAGGAGAAGAACTCGACGTGTATATGGGTTCAAGATCCAGTCCCTGTGCGATTCCGCACGCTATCCGATCAGTTTGTTGAAGTACTTTAAGACTGCCATTATCTCTGCTTACTTACGATGTTAATCATTTCCTTCACACTGCATGCTCTCTATAAGTAACTTATAGCTCGCATACAACGCCTGACGTACCTTCATAGACCGTTATCTAGCTATGCGACGGCTATATCTCTCCTCGAGAGCTTACTGTGAACCACCGTAGTACGGCTCGAATATTAGTGGCAGCATCCTCTTCCCAAGCCGTTGCAAAGAAATCTCAAGCCACCGATACCGCTGCGCGATTCAAAGTTTCGTTGATGCAAGTAGGTCGCAAGACTACCGCCGGCTCTCGCCAAGAGATCCATCACGTTTGATCCCCTTGCGTCGGCGTGTAAGAAACACGCAGGCTCGACAAATAGCCTGCGATAAGCCACTAGTGCACCGGAACAGGGGTGATCTATTGATGTCCAGACTACAAAGCTGCAGCTCGATGTCTACCCTCCATTGGGCACATCCCATGGGCGCCTATATGTACAGACAGGGTGTAGACAATTCACGGAGATCAAGACCGTGCGAGGTTCAGGCCAGGCAGGCTGAACATCTGTGAGCAAGTCAGATCATGAGATACTAGCGGTCGGAGAGAAATCAAAGTCGAACTTCATAGATCATCTCTGCTGGCACACCCCATCCACGAGTTCCCTCAACGTGATTGTACATCCGAGTTGAAAGCATGACGCCAACGACAGCGCCGGTTTCCTCGTTCACTATCGGCCCGCCACTCGATCCTGGTGTGGGGAGGGGCTCGAAAAGCATATGTGACAATGCGTCATACGTGCCGGGCTGTAATTCTTCGTGAACGCGCTGAATAGGGTATGGGGCACATTAACTTACCTCGGCCTCGCGTCCAGCCAGATCGCGATATCCGAGCACGCGTCCGCGAACCCATTTGGCCCAGCCTCCAACCCACGGCTGCCAGCCTTCACCGGCGGGGCCAGAAGGCCTCGTCTCGGACACGAGATGCGCGCGGATAGGCGTGCCTGTCTGCGCGGGATAGGGGGATACAGGCAGTGTGCGAAGCTTTGGCGTCTGCGCGGGCAAGGATGCGAGCATCAGGTCGGACCGGTGTAAGGATGACTGGATCGACTGTATGGGCGTGCACACCGCCGGCTGCAAGCCTTCTGCAAGGGATACGATACTACTCTCATCGCCTGCGGCAAGGGAAACAAGGAAAGATGCCGATGAGCGCACATGATCAAGATCTGGTGCGACAGCGGACGGGAGTGACGCGGGGAGGACAAGAAGAGGAGACCAGCGTATCTGTCCGACGGGGTTTGTCGGCTTGGCGAATGTGAACGAGCAGGCCAGCTTACGGACATACCTCCTCCAGCGTGTGCGCGCATGATACAATGATGGGCTGCGCCTCAACACCCGGTTTGGACTGAGGCTGTATCGCGAAAGCCGACGAGAGCGATAGTTTTGTCCTATCGCCCTCTTTGACTACATGGGCAAGGAGTTGCACAGCGCCATCTTGAACATTGTCCGGGACACGTCTATGTGGAGCCGGCGTGGACTCGTACGGCAATTGAGAGGGCAGGACACGGCCTGAGCGCTCCAGGTAGTGATTGATCAGACTGTTCAAGGAAGGCCGCGAGGACGCGGGTGTTCGAACGAGATGATCTATGAGAACGCGGTCTAGTGCGCTCTGTGCAGGTTCAGAGTCTATTCTGGGTTCGGCCTGTGCCGGGGCTGGCGGCGGCGGTTTGGGAAATACGAGGGTATTTTCTATGGTAGCATAGGTTCGAAGTCGGGGGAAGGAGGGGAGCACCGCTCGCCGGAACATCGATATCGTGGTTCGTGGTCAACTTTGTCCGACGTCACGAAATGGAGCGTCTCAAAGCCCACCGTCTCCTTCCATCTCCCTCACCTCTCACCGTCACCACGAGCACCTTGAACACCGCAAGCAATGAGCAATCCCGCCGTCCAGCGTGAGTCGGTGCTGTCGATCGACCGTGGCTGCTGTTGACGAGCGACGGACAGTGTCCTCGCCATCGCCCGAGCAGGACCTGAGGCACATCTCGTCCTCGGGCGCTCTCTCGCCCTCGAGTCTGAGGACTGATCCCAAGGCGGCGAACCGAGCGTCGAGGATCGGCTCCTTGTCGCCGGCCTCGATGCCGTCCTCGCCGACATCCATGTGAGTGCGGTCCCGTGACGATGGCACTGCGTCGGCTGACGGCCGTGTGCAGCCACTCGTCGTCGTCGGCGATATTCGAGCGCGACATCGAGTCGATCGCCCCAGCGCCGGCGACGAGTTCACACGCGCCGAATCCGCACCGGACGGCCCGCAGCAAGGCGACGGAGCAGATCGAGTATGCGGTGCCGTCTGTGCTGGACAGCGCGGCGGCGGTGCTGGCCTCGCCCGACGACTCGATCGCCGTCGTCGCGCCTGCCGTCCCCAGTCCGGAACTCGCCGCGACCTCGCGCTCGGGCCTCGGCAGCCCGTCGTCCCGGATGAGCAGCCGCAGCGCAAGCCCCTCGGCCGTCGCCCGCCCCGCTAAACTTCCGAGCCCCGCCCGCAGCGAAACCGCACCGCTCCCGCCCCTCCGCCAACCCAGCTTGGGCCCTATGATGCCCGGAGCCTATTTCCCCACCCCCGTCTCGGAACTCCCACCGGCACCTCCCGAATCCGCGACGCCGACGACAACGTCCCCGCCGGCCTCTCTCTCTCCCAGCACCTCCTCGGCCGTGCCCCGTCCCGCACCGCCTTCTCCCCGCGCCGTGAACAACCGGCTGTCCTTCATCTCTTACTCCGATCTGCTCTCATCGGCCCCGGCTGCGTCTGTCCCGCTCACCTCCCTTACCTCCGCGGCTACCGTTCAAGATCCTCCCCCGCATCTACCTGCCGTCCTCGGCGTGCCTCAGCAAGCGGCCTCGGCCGCCTCAGGCTCCATACGCGAGAGTGCTCGCTCCAGTTGGTATCTCAACGACCGCGATGTGCGCGAGGGTCGTGACGGTCTCTTCGTAGACGAGGCTGGCGGCGAATGGGAGCGCGAAGGCCTGGGCCAAGGTCTCGAGGAGCGCCTTGACGCTCTCCTAGGCATGAACCAGGTTGGCACTCCCCATGTCGGCCAGGTGGTCGCCCCGGCCGCGGGCAAGGTCCAGTAACCGCCCGCCCGCCACAACGAAACCTCAGAAATCCCATCCCTACTGTACACGTGTTCTAATCTGTGTTGATAGCAATGCTTCTTACTGTATCTTCCAAGTCGACCCGTGGGCCGTCGCTAATCCACGGTCGCTCGCCTGCCTTCCACCTCGCTCTCGTCCGTGCTATGCTCGTTCCCAAACAGAAACAATGTCCGCAGAAGTCTTTCCCCCATGTAAACCCACTATAGGTAGAAACCTATCTCACGACTCGTTCACGAATGCTTTCACGACCAACCTACCACTATACCACTACCCGGTTTCTTTCGATCTTCCTCCGATCTTGAAATCTCGGCTTATGTTGTCTCCCTCCCTCGGTATTCATCACGCATGGTATCTTGTCCTCCGGGCGTCGATGCGCTTACTTATCTTTATGGTTCTCGCGATTCACGCAGGTGAATGTAGAGCAAAGCAATGTCAATAACTGCACGTGCAGGATTGATTCCGGTTACTGTGCGTATAAAGAGCGGCAGCCGTACGGAGACGGACAAGTATGCGGGGATGTGGTGCAAACAAGAAACAAGTACAGAGAGTGGACGAAACGGGTATGTGACAGGTATACACGAACGAGCCGGTCGCGCGTCGACAGCGGCAGCGCGCTCGGCGTGCCGCGGGTATGCGATTATCATGTACTCGGCTCTGCGGCGGGAGTATAGAATAGGGAGGGGGACGTATGCCCAGAGTTTAGCATTGGGTGAGCTTGCTGTTCTTCGGGAACGTTTCCCCGATGTCGGACCAAAGCGTGTGGTTCGGGTTGTAGTACGCCTCCTGATATGTATCGATATACTCGGCTAGAAATATGCATAAGCATACACGCGCAAGCGACAGGACGCGAGGCCACCTACCGGTAGGGAAGTCCTTGGGGTCGCAGCCTACGTTGTACTTGTCGGCTTCTTGGTAGACGCGCACGTAGTCCACCCGCATCTTCGCCGGGAACACGAGATTGTCGTAGTCGATCGTGATGAAGCTGCTTGACATGCCCAAGTTCATGATGACGTACATCGGCTCTTGCGAAACGGGACGCGCAGCGATTTCCGTATTGGGATCGGCGGCGAGTGCGCCAGAGTAAACCGTAAAAGCGGCCTGGTTGTTGTTGACCCAAGTGATGTAGGCATCGTCGAAACCGGGCGAGTATTCGATGGCATACGTCGCATATTGATTGCCACTCAGCTCGTATGCCTGTTGGTCTACACAAAATCATACATTCAGCGCAGCCCGGACAGGGTCCCGCAAGACACATACTGGCAATGCTCAACGCCGACACCGCTTCCTGGTATGCTCCTCCGTGGTAGTTATTGACGGTGCTGACGCTGGAGTCCCAGATATCGTATGTGCCGGTACCATTGAGGAAGAAGTACCCGTAATTGAAAGGAGCGAACTGTCCTGACTGGGGGACTCATTCAGTGAAAAGGTCGAGGGCCTGTCACAAACGAGACACGTACTTGACTGACGTTTCCACCAGAAGGTGACGCCGCAGCCTCGAAGATATCGATTTCAGGAGCTGCACGACCCACGTACGTCCCGTCCGAATGCACCGGTCCCGGGTGTGATTCGCCCTGGCAGGTGCAGCGGGAGAGGCGCTGTCCGGGCAAGAACGATAGCTTGTCGCCATTGTACTGGTCTCCCATTCCCGGTACAAAGGCACCAGGGGGGTCGTTGCCCAGCGTCTGGTTGGGCAGAGCCCCGTAATCACAAGAGTCGTACGAGTATGGCCACTGTGCGATATCACATTACTGTACGTCATCAGAACCGGACAAGAATAGAACTTACCAGACCGTCCGTGGATGCGCCGTAACCAACACGGCCGAGGTTGCCCATAGTCCCTGTAAATATAGATCAATATCTGAATACGGATTTGCAGCTTGAGAACGTACAGATGGCGGGCCACAATCCAGAGACGTCCGGTGAACCTGGCAGTGTCACTGCCACCTCCACGATGCCACCCGTAAAGCAGAACTGGTTCCAGGTGGACATCATCCCACCGGTGTAGTTGAGGTCGTGTTGCGGCTTCTTCGACAACGTGATCTCAAGGGCGCCGTCCTTCGTCGTGATTGCTGACGGGTCGTACCATTCGACATCGCCTAGAGAACCATACGTGAACATCCTCCTCCGCTTCCGACCAACACCGTACGTACCTGTCTGCCAATAGTTGAGGTTCATAGCCGTCCAGAACTATAGAATTTTATCAGAAATGGTGCGATGGACGGCGTGCAAGTTGGCGCACCGGATCATCACCCTCGTAAAATGACCTGCCTTCGGTGTTGAACTCGTCGCTGAACACCAACTCAAACTGCGAAGATTTTGAAGGCGTGAATGTTGATCTCGTCTTGGCCTGAAAAGTCTCAGAACGCAGCATCGGGATGCGAATGAAACGCGGGCATACCTCATCGGGAGTGTCTGGGTCGATGAGTCCACGGTTCTTGGGTATCGTGGGCTTCTCGCCTAGCATATTTGTGCCTCCCAGGTTGAGCGACTTGGGATCCGAGTCGTTCCCGGTGACACCCGTCTTCTTGAGCACGTAAGTGGTGACAGGGTAGCCGCCGCTGTATGCTAGTGAGCATCATCGGAGGCGGAGGGAGTCACAGTAGGCGTACAATAACGCTATGATGCCTATAGCCAGGAGCGCGAGACAGCCAAGATTAGCGCATCCACGAGAGCTGAAGATGGTTCCACCGCGGTCGTATGCTTGGTCTCGTCGTGGGTCAGGATTATGCAGGATGTCATCCGCCTCGGGAGCGCTGAGTTCAGCCCATAATCGGGGGTCTGGCGGCAATGCATACTAACAAGGACTCAGGAAAGCCACCGACACGTGAGGTTCAGTAGCGCACCTTCCCAGCGATAGAACTGCGTTTTCGGCCGTCGTGGTAGTAGGAACCCTATATGACTGTCAGCGGCTAGTCACACAGATCCAAGAGTGCGCGCACGATAGTGTCGGTGGACTGCACGCTGCGGAGAGATGCTGGCCGTAAGAACGCGGGGCGGGGTCCACTTCCCGGCGGCGGCAGAAGGTGAGCGGCTGAGCGCGGGGACTGGTCGTCGGCGTAGGCTCGGGAGGCTTGCATGGAGGCAGCTGGAGAAAGACAGGCCGGAATAAACGAGTGATAGTGTGCGTGGCCGGGTGGCTAAGCCTGCTGGCGGGCCCGAGGGAGTTGGCAGACCAGCTGAGCGAGCGAATGGACTGGCGGCGGCGGCGGAGACGGAGGGCGCAGTGACGGTGGTGAGAGAAGATGCAGCAGTGCTCTCGGAATCCATTACAACGTACGAACTCCACTAGCAGTTCCCCGACTCGCCGGGGTGGCCCCCAGAATCAGCAAGCGATCCCATCACCTCGCAACCGCACAGAACTTCGCTCATCACAGTCCTGCATACCGCTCTCCATTCAGCCTTCCCGCAGACATTCGGGCTACAACGACCCCCGGGACTGTCAGATCCCGACAGAGTCCAGTGATACAGTTTACCGGCGACGAGAGCCCGCCGGACGAGCGCCAGCATCTGCTGAAGCATGAGGCGTGCTCTCACCGAAGCACTTCGTTTGGTGCTACTTGCGCTGCGGAAGATCATCTTCACGAGGGTGCGATAGCCGCATGAGGTAAGCGGGGTATTTCGCAGACACCGATGAAATATGAGAACCTCGCAACTACGCCCGAACGCCCGTGTCGAGGGTGACAGGTGGGAGTTTTTGTGCGGCGGCCCGTCCTACGACTTCAAGACGCCCCCATACCACCGTTATGCCGCGCGTATTTATGACTGTTACCCGGAGACGGTCCAAAAGACGTATAGATAGAGTGAAGGAAAAGGCGGTCCACAAGGTTGTCCGTAACAACCCAAGCGCACTTTCCGATGCGGCAATCGTATCCCACGTGGCGCGTCATCGGCACATTTCCCGGTGATTTGAATTTGCACTAGGTTTGCAGCGGTCTTCGTCAACTATAAGTGGCCGTATATATCGCGGGTCATGACCGAGCAGATGATAGACTTGCATAGGCAGTATAAGCGAAGGTATCGAGCGGAAGGCTGCGTGTGTATGATGGTGCTTGTACGCTGTCAGTTGCCATGCACAAATTCGAAGCATCGCGTCAGCTTTTTATCCGAAACACATACTCAAATGCGCTCTCGTTTTCAGGTACGACCAAAAATCGCATTCAACTTAAGCGCTTGGGAATCACATTAAGGAGAAGAAGGGTATGATAGTGGATGGATCATGGACTGCCGGTACGTAGACCCCGGAGGCCAGGTCACCCAGCGCACTATGTACAGTCCAATCTCGGGAAAAGCAAGTGGACAGGCGAAAGAGGAGTGAATGCGGGATCTCGTCAGATGACGAGGTGGATACGGGACTGGCGGGGCGGATTCGTAGTAGGTAGATGGGTGGAGGTCAAGAAACAGGATAAACCAGGAAGACAAACGTCCGACGGGTACAGTAGCGCGGCCAGCGGAGCGGGCACCTCAACGAGAAGAAAGCACCGTACGAGATTTGAAAGAACGACAGGACAAGTCGCAACGCGACAAATGAGCGTCGGTATACAGTAACTTGCAGTCCTTCATCCCAAGATCCTCTGAGACACCGATTGCTCCGGCATTTAGTAGTGGGCGTTATTGTAGTCATACGCGCCAGCGGGCGCCTGTTGCGGGTATCCGTTGTAGCCATGGTTGAAGCTGGGGCCGCGGCTGAGATCTTGCATCTGCGGACCAGGACTGGGGCCACGCGCGAGATCAGCGTAGCCTGCGTTAGCACCGAGGTAGGCGCCGGTGGCCGGACCCGCGGTGAAATCGTGCTCAGGAAGAGGCTGAAGGGTCGGAGCATGCTGGCCAGTCGCACCATATGCGCCATACGCGCCATGAGACGAGCTGGACGAAGGAGCGCGAACGAGACCGTCGTGGCCGGCCGAGTGGAAGGAGGAAGCGATAGACGCGCGGCGGTTGGAGCCGGGCACGTCGTCCCCATCAGTGGGGGGCTGCCAGTCGATGGGCGCCAGACGGTCATCGAAGCGCTTCGAGGTACGAAGCTTCCACTTGCGGAAAATGGTCCAGATGAGGGCACCGCCACCGATACATCCAGCAATCACGGCCAAAGTCGTGATGGCGCCCTTGGATAGCGTGCTCGAGCTCGCGGCCGCTTTTGCGGTAGCGGACGAGGTCGGAGACGCGCTCACAGAGACATGACTGGTGATCGTGACGGCTTGAGCCGAGTTGTCCTGGGCCTCAACTGCAGCGGCGCTGGTGGGGGACGCGGCGGCGCTGGTGGGAGCGGCGGTAGTAGATGTAGCCACCGCCGAGGTCGACGAGGAGGACGAGGTCGTGGACGAGGTGGTCGTGGACGAGGTGGTGGAAGAAGTGGTCGAGGCCTGCGGAACCGGGTTTCAGCACACTATCGCCGCAGTCAAGAAAATGAAAAGTTCAGGACTGACCGAAGAAGTGGTGGTGGTGCTGGCGGTGGTGCTGGAGGCAGAGTCGGAGCTGGCAGGCGTAGTCGACGAGGCCGTGTCCGAAGAGGCTGCTGCGGAAGATGCCGGGGTGGTGGCAGACGCGCTCGCGGCCGTGTCCGAGGCAGGGGCGGTGGAAGAGGCGGCCGCAGCCGAGTCACTGCCGCTTGCGGCGGAGGAGTCGTCGGCAGAGCCCGTGCCGGCGTTGTTGACGGGGTTCAGGTCGTCGAGCAGTCCTGGAGTGCGCTTCTTGATCATTCGATTCAGGCTCCCATGGTCCCGGCGGTTCACGGCGAACGGATCAGCGGCCTGGGTGGGCCCGACGAGGGCCAAAGCGAGAGCGAGGGTGCAAAAGAGTGTGAGGGCGAGCTTGCGTGAGCGGAGGGAGAGCATCTCTATATGGTAACAGAACAACTAGCTGGAGCCGGGTCGATTCGTTCGCTGAGACAACGGTCGTCAGTTCAGCCCCGTTTTATTAAGCATTGCCATCCCAAACAAACTCACAAGGCGCAAGCACGCGCAGGTAGACGGGAAAGCGAGCGAAGGGGCCGAACGGCGAGATGGGAGACAAGAGCAGCGTTGAGAACGAACCTCAAAGTCTGGCCCCGACGTTTGTTTCCAGGGGCGGATCGTGGGCGGCGGCTGCGTCCGCGTGCGTGTCTACCAACCTTTGCCCCCTGTTTTCCCATCACTCATCACCCTGCTACTTCACTGGTGGCGGCAGGATCAGATATTATTAGGCCAATCGATCCGCGTCATGTACGATAGAGAGTATACAGAATGGTCAAGGGGTGCGAGTCGTATCATACTACATACTGAAAAGGTCCACATCAAGCCAAAGTCCATTGTCCTCGAACAACGTGAATCATAGTGCATTTCAAGGGTGACTTGTCAAACTCCAGTCGTTGAGCGCGACTGAGCTCGGCGTCGCAAAGTCGGTGAAGCCATCCCATTGCGGGTTGAAGAGCACCTCAAGCGTGTAGCTGCCTGCATCGAGCGAAATCGCAAGCACGGTCACGCCAGGATTGTCCTGGTCGGTCTGGCCAGACGGGAGCGCGGGATCCGTCGAAAAGCGTACGGGCTCCATCGTCGTGAACTTGGCCCCGGACGGGGCGTTGAGAAGCGCTATCTTCATCGTCTGTCCGTCGAGCGTCAACGTTGCCGTCGTGCCGGCACTGTCGATCGAGACCGTCGCGTTGGTGTGCATCCTCCACATGACCCCCGCCGAAGCGTTGATCTCATCCTGGATGAGAACCTGGCGTCGTTGGTTGATAGTGCGCACGCCACGCTTGAACGATGTCCTACATAGTTGCCGCCTTTCAATATTGAGCTCTCAAAGAAAGCGTAACGATGAATACGAACGTGTTGAAGTAGGCCGAGGTCAAGTCCGCGACGAAATACGCCGCAGAGCCTTTGGGGACATCATACACAGTGCTCGAGCCCTGAGCCTCACCAGTCGATTGAAACTCGGCTGTCGGCGACGCAGTAACGTCTTGATTTTCTTGGCCGACGAGGATTGTATTCTGACCCTCTGTACGCTTTCGGTAGTACAGCCAGCGTTGCGAGTCCTGATCATCGGACGAAAAGTAACCAGTAGACAAGTAATCGCCTGAGCCAAGCTCTCCGGCCCATCGCGTGCCAAGCGCGTCGAGAACGAAGTCGCCGGCGTCCAGGTCGTTGTGCGTCTGATGACCGACCAACTTGCCCGCCTTGACTGCGACGTACAATGCATTAATGTCAGTCCAGCTACTGCGCATGCTTGCCCACTGATCCGTTGAGTTGTCTGCTAAACGTGAGCACTGTGACCAGGACGCAGCGGAATCATTCAACGTACCGAAGTAGTGGTCGAGCGCGAGACCGTCCCACCATGCGCCAGTGACGGATGGATCGTACCAGAACATGGCCCAAGGGTCTGATGCCGAGTCGAAGCGGTCACGTTGGAAGAGTGAGTACTGAGGCATGCTGAATTGCGTGGCAAAGTAGTGCATCATGTTGGCCGTAGTGCTGAACTTGTTTGGGCCGTGATCGCCATAATTGAATAACGAGGTCGCGCCGGTCACATACATGTGGTATAACGCCGTGGCATTCACACCGCTACCGGCCGCGAGCAGCCCATGATCAGAGCCAGTCGCGGTTTGCAACGCGCTCGACATCTCAGCCATGCCGGTCGTCCCGAAGTACCAGTAGTTCGCAGTCTAGACGGGTGAACGGACGTCAATAACAAGGCTCCATGCGAGAAAGCGTGGAAGATACCTCAGCCCATGTGCCATCCGGAGAGGGAGCTAACACACACGCCTGCTGAGCATTACCGATGGTGTGACCGAGAAGGGCGGAAGCGGTCCCATTATCGTCTCCCAGGATGGCGAGAGCGCCTAAAGTAAGGCCGCCGTTGCAGACACAATTCTGTCCGCAAATGAGCATAACGTTCGAAACACGGGGAAACCTGACTTACCCAGTTTCCCTTGATGGTGGCGGCTGACCACCAGCCGAAGCTGGCGTTATCCTCGAAGACCTGACGTCCGGGCTCAAGCCCCCACTTGATCATGGTGTCGCGGATGTACTCTTTCTGCGTGTCGTTGAGCGACTCGTACAACCAATCATAGCCGATACCGTAGGCAGCAGAAAGCTCCGCCGTGTCGAGGAAATGATTGGTGTTCCACTTGTCCGTGCTCGGACCCCAACTGTCGCTGCCCGCGTTCACCATCTCGAGGTACGCACGATCCGACCACTTGGTATCGTTGGTCATGCGGTACGCATAGGAAAATGCTTTTATGCGCTCCTTGATCTGACGTGCGACATCGAGAATGCCGTTGCTGCCATCGTCCACGTAGCCCACGACGTCCATAGCAGCCCACGTTGAGGCATTGCCGAAGATGGTGTCGTTCCACGCTTTGAGGTAAGGGTCCTTTGTAATGAGTGAGGGCAGTGCTTGCCATTTGTAGGCGGGCGCGATTAGGCGAGGACGGTCACTGCGGACCGATGTTGGCGAGGGATCACTCGGCTGGAAGGGGTCGTCTGGCCAGACGGCAACGGCCTGCTGAGTGTTGAATGTCGGAGTCGTGAAGACTGCTGTGTTCGTCTAAACGGTTCGGTGCGGTTTATTCATAAGATCGAGTTTGCCACACGCGGAGACGGCACGTACAGTAGATGGGTAAACGGGTACCATGAACTCCGAGTTGGTCGAGGTGGCAAAGATACCTAATGCATTCTTCGCGCTGACAGCCGAGCTGGCAGCGGCGGGCGAGGTATCTCCCGATGAAGAGGAGCCGCCGGCGGTAGAGCTACTGCTCGAGTTGTTGTTCCGTGCCGCGCGTGAGCCGAGGACGCCGCCCAGGACGGCACCGATGATGACGAGGATCGCGATCGGTACACCAAACTTGACCCATGGGCTCAGTGTGCGGCGTTTAACGGAGCCCGCGGCTAGAGGTGCTTGCCCGGACATGGGTTCGTCAGAGTACCCGCCGGGCGTGTCCTGGAGGTCTTGACGGCTGGAGCTGTGCACAGCGCTGTACGACGCCATGGGCTGCGTCCGGAGAGTCCCGCTTTCTTGTCGCGGGTAAGGTGGGTAGCGTGTGCGGAGATGAGAGACGGAGGCAAGATCGGGTTCACAAGCATCCGTTGTATTATTGCATTGTCTGGGGAAAGAACCCCGTGCCTTGCTAAACGCCCACGCGCATCAATTACATAGGTTATATGACAATGACCACACAGCGCCGTACGGCTTTACATGACCTCATACGTTCCCAACGTACTCTCAATCGTATCTAGTCGCGAACAAACAGCCCAGCTGCTCCCATTCCCGTACCAATACACATTGATGTGACGAGTATCTGCGGATCAGGCTTCCGTCAGCGCCCTACGACACGGGCTCGGCCGGCTAGCGGGCTCACCTTGCCGCCCCGGCGTTGCAGCGCATTCAGGCCGGTGGCGACCTGCCGAGCACCAGTACAGCCCAACGGATGGCCTAGAGCAATCGCGCCTCCATTCACGTTCACCCTGTCGAGATCAAGACCAAGCTTGCGGGTGCAATAAACATACATCTGTAAGGGGGTCCATAAATAGCCGTTATACTGCATTTTAACTTACGCCACGACATACCGAGGCGAAGGCTTCATTGATCTGGGGTGGACATCGAGTGAGTTTCCTGTTGCGACATGTAGTCCGAGCGTGCAGTACCTTACCTCAAATAAGTCCACATCCTCCTTCGTGATGCCCACAGACTTGAGAAGCATCGGAATCGCGATGCTGGGACCAATGCCCATGATACGTGGCGCCAGGCCAGCAACGGACGTCGTGACGTGCTTGGCTAGAATGGGTAGACCTAGTTGTTCTGCTTTGCGGCGCGTCATGAGCAGCACAGCGGCCGCGCCATCCGTCACTTGTGATGCGTTGCCACCTGTCGTATTGGCCGGGGGCCATTGAGGGAATGCGGCCCGGACCTTTGCCAGACCCTCCTTGGTCGTACCAGGTCGTATACCATCGTCGGCGCTGATGACAACCAGTCGACGCTCCCCGGTCGCAGTGTCCTTCTGTAAGGCGGTGAAGGGCACGATTTCAGATGCGAAGATACCCTCTGCTGCCGCCTTCTCCGCGCGCTGGAATGAAAGAGCTGCGAGTTCGTCCATGTCAATACGGCTGATGCCGAAGTCGCGAGCGACGTTCTCGCTGGTCCAACCCATCGGCTGTAAGGCATCAACAGCCAGATCGTGAGCTTTGATCTCTTCGCTAGCCATACTTGCACCGTCGTCAGGGCTGAGCAAAACAAACCGTCACTTCGTTGTGCGAACAGTTGCGAAGAAGGTGTACGCACTTGGCTGTCATAGACTCAATGCCAATCGCCAGTCCGACCTCGATCTGGCCTACACGTATCTGATTTGAGATGGTGGTGATTGCCATGAGTCCACTAGAGCAAAAGCGGTTGATGGTTTGAACTGGCACGCTGTCGGGAATGCCAGCAGCCAGTGCAGCAGTGCGAGCTTCATACACGGGACCCTTGGGAAGCACAGTGCCGACGCATATGTCACCAATGACCTTGGGGTCGACGTGACTATGCTCGATGGCGCGCTAAGAAGAAATTGGGATTACAAAACGGCGTCCTAGGCTGCTAGGCTTACCTTGAACATCTCCGTCAAAAGTTCGTCAGCCCTAGCAGTGAGATAAGTGCATGGATCTAGACAAGCGCTGCAATGCGTACCTCATATCTCTGAACGCGCCTTTCTTCGCTTTGCACATCGGCGAGCGAATGGCCATAGTAATCACGACATCGTCCGGCGATTTACGCAGTAATGCTTGTGCACCAGGCGCCATTGAAGAGCCAGTGATGTGAGAAGCGAGCTGCTTCACGCGTTCCATGTCGGGTTTGTTGCCAGGCTGTAAATCAATGAGTACAGTCAGTCTCTGCGAGGCGATGCCGTAGACTAGACGATAGGTTGTGGTGGTATGAGGGCAACCACGGACAAGGACAGAAGCCCGAGCTCCGGTTAAGAACCGGCACGTTAAACAACAAATCACAGACTGAGCTTGGTCACGCGTGCACGGCGCCAAAGAAACAATCGTTAAGGGGACTGTGCTTCGTAGGAGGAGCTATGGGAAGAAGACTAGGCTTGCATCGCACGGACAGTGTGCACGCTTGGAGGCCTGGTCGTGGTCAGGAGAAACGGCTGCAACCGCGTCGACGCGTCAACAATTGATGAATAACTCCAGTTCTCGAGTTGCCTCCACCCGCCACGAGCCAGTCGGGTCATCGCATGATTACCTGTGCCCCAAAGCTTACTCACCATCAGACCTTCGGTAACAGAGCTATGGCCATGCCAGGATTGCGATCTAACATACCGAACAGAGCGTATTCCTCGTCAATCCGCTACGTTTTCAGTACGCGTTCGAGGTCGTCTTGATATCCTACTGCTCGACCCGTTGCCTGGAGGATTCATCGACTGCTGTCCACAGACGTATAAATCTGACATCTGGTACTACAGAGCTCGCGCATCCGGCGAAGCTGTGTTACACAATGTTGCCAGACAATGAAGTCCGATTCATCGGTACGTCGAACTCCCATGCTTAGATCTTCACAACTGACAGAGACCACAGACATAGGAGGTCTGTCCCTCAATGATAGTTTACTCTGCACTGTCTCATAGTATTCCGTTTGTCGTCACAGTGAATCTGACAGACCCCCTATTCCGCGGCAGCTATCGAGGACGCCAAAAACACAGAGGTGATGTTGCACAGTGTAAACGACTTTAACTATGTGTTGATATCCTATGTAGATGACCTAATGGATGTGCTTGAGCGATCGAGGAAAGCTGGGGTGAAATCTATGATCGTCACTGGTGGGAGCCTGGAAGAATCGAAGGAGGCTCTCGCACTTGCACGAGAACATAGTGAATCCGACGGATTGATTATGTTGAGCCGCATCTTACGCTCCAACAGACCTTTACGCCACAGTGGGATGCCACCCCACTCGCTCAAACGAGTTCGATGCATATGCGGATGGACCATCCGCATATCTCGAAGCTTTGGATGAGCTCATCAGAGATAATCTCACTGGGCCCGGGCGGGTTGTGGCGGTGGGAGAATGCGGTCTCGACTACGACAGGCTGCACTTTTCTTCAGCCGATGTTCAACGGAAATATTTTCGTCAGTCGTTCTGTCACATCAGGGATGGCGATCGTAAGACTGACCACTGCTTAGGATGTCAACTTTCCCTGGCCAAAAAGCATCATCTCCCCTTATTTCTGCATTCCCGTTCTGCACATGAGGACTTCATCCGTATCTTGGGAGAGGAAGGTTTTGGAAGCGAAGGTGGAGCTACTATCGGTGCCGCAGGTGGTGTGGTCCATAGTTTCACTGGCTCTACCCAGGAGTGTATAGACTACGTGAGCACAGTCTACGAACCTGCTTGCCCGGAGAATGACTAGGATGTCGTCAGATGAACATGGGATTCTGCGTAGGGTGAAGCGATTCTGATGACTTCGATCCTGTGGACGCTGACGGTAATTTAGTATCAATGGTTGTGGCCTGAAAACGATGGAAAATCTCGAGGCCGTGAGCCGCCTACAACTCGAAAAACTCATGCTCGAGACAGGTTGGTGGTCCAATAGAATATACAGCCGCTTTATCTTATCAAAATTGCTATCGACAGATGCACCCTGGTGTTCGATGACCTCGACACATGCGTCCAAACTCTATCTCAGTAACCTGCCTTCCAATCTCAAAGCTGATTATCTGCCCGAAAGCAAACCACCCGAGAAATTTGTGGATGGTCTTGCGGTGAAAGGGAGGAATGAACCTTGTACTATCGGCAGTGTCGCCTGGGTGGTCAGCCAAGTTATTCCGCATGTGTCGCTCGAGCAACTTAGCCATGCAGCATGGGAGAACACTGTCCGCGTCTTTGGACTTCGTGAACTCATGGCATAGAACTAGCTGTCCTACGTGTATATACGACTTTCTGAGGGCAAGGCAACACGTTTCTCACTAGTACGGCCCTTAGATGCTCATGTACATGGACAAGTATTACGGAAGATCCCTTCGAAAACTACTCACCAGCCCTTGAAGTCATGGGACCGTGTTCCGTCAGACGCGTCGGCGGAAGACGCAAGGCGCGACTTGCTTGTCAGCTTACTTCCACGATCGCGGACGTCTCTTAGACGTCTGTGAGATGTCCTTCACTTGGTCGGGCGTGTTGGCTGTTGTGGGCCTGCTATGGTACATCATATCATGGTGCATTGGAATGTTGGGATGTTGGGCTGCGTGCGTCACCTGCATCTTCTGGAAGGGCTCATCGCGCTGACATCCAAGTAGTCGTAAACGATACAGGTTGAGGCCACGCTCCCCTCTTGCTTCCGCCGCGGCTCTATCTGTGCCGGGTGTATCTATCTTGCGCCCATTGAAAGGACTGGATACAAATCTATACGAAAATCTGGAATCATCCTTCACACAGGACTATCCAAACTTCGAGCTCTTGCTCTCAGTGGACAGTGAGGCCGATCAAGCTCTTTCCGTCGTACGCGAGCTGCTGGACAAGTATCCGCAAGTGAACGCCAGGATAATCATCAGTGCGTTCTACTTCACGGGTTGAATGCGACATCTGTTCATCGTATCACAGGCAACGAAGATGTGGGTCTCAATCCCAAAGTGAATAACCTGATGCGGTCTTATAAGGAAGCCGCGCACGACATACTCTGGGTACTGGACTCAAACGTCGTGGTGGCCCCCGGTACTCTCGCACGCGCAGTTGATGCATTGAACCAACCCGCCGCACCCGGCAAGAGGCGCATAGCCTTGGTTCACCATGTCCCCTTCGCCTTCGTCAATCAACCTGCGATAGGTTCGCGGATAGAAGAGGCCTTCCTCAATACGAATCACGCGAAGATGTACATTGCCATCAATACCACGGCCGTCGACTCATGTGTTATGGGGAAGTCCAACCTGTATCGCCGATCTGACCTTGATCTGGTGAACGGGCGTCTTAAACTTCGGCGCGAGCCTCCGGAAGATGATGGACGCGGTTTCGGCCTGGCCGCTTTTGGCCGTTACCTAGCCGAAGACAACATGATCGCCGCGGCCCTTTGGCACGAATTGGGCCTACGACATGATCTTTCCTGTGATGTGGCGAAAAATGCCATCGGGAGCATGTCATTTGCAGACTACGTTTGGCGCCGCGTACGCTGGATACGCGTTAGAAAACTCATGACGCTACCAGCCACGCTGATCGAGCCACTCACCGAGTGCATTGTTATCAGTCTGATCGCTGCTGCCTGCCTGCGGGCACTATTTGGGGTCTACCCGTTGCTTTTTCTCCCGCTACATTATGCTCTATGGCTTTGGCTCGACCTTGACGTCTACGAATCACTCGCTGGCTATCCGCTTCCGTCCTCTCGAAGGTGGGGCTTCCTGGCTGCATGGGCTGCCAGAGAATTCCTCGCTTTACCCATCTGGGTCCTGGCAATGGCGGGAAATACGGTCGAGTGGCGAGGGAGGAAATACAGGATTCTCAGGAACGGGGAAGTTGGGCGTGTCGCCGACGATAGCATCTTCGCCCGATGGTTCAGGAAGGAGCCGGCAAAGCCGCACGCATACGATCTACACGAGCCTTTACTAGAAGAAGGCCGACAGTAGTACATATTCAGTGTGTAGTGTTACCTAAATATAAGGCACATACGGCCACTGTTCAGAAATATCCTGAATGTGGGAATGAATCCAAGAGAAAGCTGATTGTGAATTGGGCTGGTTGCCGCACCACTTGAGCGCCTTTCGGTCCTAGATCTCGACCATCATGTCGGCTAACGACGATGTGCGCGAGCGCATTATTGCCTCCGTGTTCTCTCGTCGTAACGCCACCGGAGCTACCGTAGAGAATTATATCTCCCATGTGAAGGTCTGGGAAGACTCTGGGAACGACGCGGACGGTCTGAAGCCTCGGTTCATCTTGCTAAGTCGTATGTCCTCGCCGGATGCCTTGATGCGTGTCCCGGTCTAATAGGTCTCAGAGGATATATCCGGGCACGCGTTCATCCATAAATCAAAGCTGAACTCGAACGGCACTTTCTCTGTGGGGAAGACATGGCAGTTGCAGGAGTTGCGTGGTCTGGAGGTCATGTCGGTGGGTGGTGTACGACCTTTCATAAGAACATGATGTCGAGATACCCAATAGGGAAAAGACTTCAACATCACGCTCGCACGGACATATCGCTGGCAGACGGAGGATCCGAATGATCAAGCGAATTTCCTTGTGGCGATAGTTCAGCTTTACCAGACCATGTTTGGCTCAACTGGCCGGTTACGCCTGGTCAACGTACCGTCGGAGGCGCCTGCACGTGTGTGATCCTACGATCTGTCTTATACCTTTAACTCAGCGCCCGACAGCTACGCCGCAAGCCCGACCACCAGGCCGGAATGTGAATGGCCGTGCTCCTGCAGAGACGGCGGCGGCTGTCAATCCTGCAGCCAGGGATCCCAGGGTATTCGACGCCTCGTCAAGACCACGAGTGGACTCGCGCCGCGCACCTCCTTCTGAACCCTCGACGTCACGCGCACCATCGCCAGCCGCCCGCCGACAAGCGCCTTCGCCGACGCCCCCGCCGGCTAGGGAACGCCCGCCGCGAGCCGAAAGACCAGGCGAGAGCTCATATCGACCGTCTGCAGCATCTTCCGCCTATGGTTCTGTTGGGCGGCAGTCTGCTGCCCCAACAGATACCACGTCCCGCACATCCATGGAGAGTTCCCTCAATCCGCCTTCGTCGCGTTTCGCCGTTCAGTCATCGTCCTCTGTCACATCCCTTGGATCGACGTCCACAGCCACTGGTTTGCATCCGTCAGCCGCTGATACACCTCGTCGTCGTTCACCCTCACCTTCCGCCGCCCCTACCGTAACAAAACCACCACCACCCTCATCAAGAGCTCGGGGTCAAGATCCATCTCGGCGACCGAGTCCAGCGGCTCCGGAGCCCCTACCACAGCGACGAGACCAGAATGCGCGCATCTCATACTTTGATCCTGCGAATCAGGCAGCGTTGGATCGTATGTTGGCCAGCGACCTGGGCGGGGGAGAAGAAGAGCAAAGTAACCAGGATACACTCGCGAGCGTTGAGGAGATGTTGGAGGGCTATGAGTGGGCAACCGATACCGTACTTGGGGGAAATAAGGCCAAAGGGACGGTAGACCAGATTGAGGCTCGGTTGATGGATGAACTCATGGCATTGGAGAAGGTCGTTGTCGTCTTTTCGCAACTCGGATCACATGCTTACTGAGTCGTGTAGGCAAATATGTACTCCTTCATCGAGTCTGACGAGCGCGTGAACCTCGTTCTGAACTTCCTTGATGAAGCAATTGCCGGACTCGACTCCATGGAAAGCCAAGTGTCGTCATACAAGATACACTTGAACGTCAGCAGCGTATACTCGACGTCTTCTATCGCTTACTCATATTGACCCACCCAGGCCGTCAACGAGGATATCTCCTTCATCCAGTCGCAGAATCGTGGCCTACAAGTTCAGACGCAGAATCAAAGAGCGCTGCTTAGCGAGCTCGAAAATCTTTTGGTGAGGAGCACCGTGTCCAATCCCGACCGCGTGCTGATTCACTTGTTACCGTCAGCAAACCGTTCAGGTTCCAAGAGAACTGCTAGTCATGCTCACCCAAGAGTCGCTCGAGAAGACGGCCTCTATTGAGCGTCTTGAGGGCGCGGCGGCGGAGCTGTACAAGGCTCTTCAAGCCGGGCGCGATCGTGATATGGCGGCGACCATGGAGCGGCTGGACGAGTATCGCACTCACAACCAACAGTTCTGCAAGCGCATATACGACTATCTTTCTATCATATTCGTCGCTCAGGTACTCGCCGTCCACATCGACAGTGTACTCGGGTGCTCATCGTCACATAGTCCAAGATGTTACTTGGAGATTCTGACGGCCTCGTCAAGAGGAGTAAGGGCACGCGTTTAATCATCAAAGAACACAAGGATGTCGAAGTCTATCTCGGGCGGTACAGCGGTCTCATCCTCTACCTGAAAGAGATGGACGAAGTCTCCTATGCCAAACTCTGTGCTGTATGTACTACCAGACGCTGCTAGTATCTGTGCGTTGAAGCTCATCCAAACTTCAGGCGTACTTCTCTACAGCGAGTGAGCTACACAGCACCCAGATCAAGGCCCTTATGGCTGTGTACAGTGGTATGGTGAAGAAGCCATCCGAGGAGGAGGCCGAGCAAAGTACGTAGTCTATTTTACATCTCGTCCTGCTGACTGACCGATGCTCTTCAGCTTTCGCTTTGACACCTGGTGGCGGTGGAAATCGGACGGCTAATCCGCTCAAACGAGCAGGTACACTGGTCCGATCGCCCCTAGAGAACCGGAGAGACCGCGATAAGCCGGCGGACGGCGACATGGAGGCTGCTGCAGCATTTGGGCGTATCCTTGAGGCAATCTCGCCGCAAATATACCGCGAACAAGAGTTCATCGCGGATTTCTTGCAGATCAATGAGGCTGGTTTGACCTTCGCAGACTACATGGGTTTGGAGAATTACTTCCGACGCCAAGCTGCTCGCACGATTGGACTGAGTCAACAGACACTGAAGCTTGTTCGAGGGGCCATGGATCTCATCTTCGGGTTCTTACCCTTGGAGCTGAAGGCGTGGATCGATGGCGCTCTCGTGAAGGACAATCTGTGTGTGATTCATACCCAGTTTCCCTACCAGGCCATTCTGATTTTTGCACAGGCAGCTCATCGGGGTCATCGCCTGCTTGGAGCGTTTCATCGCGGATGCCGACGAGCGTGGCAACGCCTTCCTCATCAATGCACTGGATAAGCAACATCGCCAACTTAAGTCTCTATTCGACCGCCATGTCGGCGAGCAGATCAAGTCGATAGAAGAAACCAAATTGACGAGCAAGAAGCGCAACGGTGTCGCGCAATTTATCAAGTACTTCCCAGTATATGTCGGCCGAGTCGAGCAACAACTTGTTGGCGCGGATACGCTCGAAATTCGGCAGACTGTAGATGTGGCGTATGAGAAGATTGTGCAGACCATGTTCGATTCGCTTAAGCAGATGGCGAAACTCGACGGGGAGGGTGAGGATAAGGGCCAACTCAACTATCACGTCATCCTCATTGGTACGTACACTGTGGTATGTAGCTCTTCTGGAGCGCTCACCATTTGCAGAGAATATGCACCACTTCGTCGCGGAGATACGGCAACAGGAAATAGGTTCTGTGGGCGCCTTTTCCAAGCGCGCGCAAGATCTTTACGAAGAAAACCTTGCCGCCTACGTCAAGCTCGTTCTGCGGCGTCCATTTGCGAAGATCATCGTGAGCATCTCACATCGTGCCGCATCCACACATCTGACCTAGTGTGCCAGGAATACTTTGACGGTGTCGAGCGCTTGCTGAAGACAACTGCACCGACCGAAGTCGCAAATAACAGCAGCTATAATCGGTCTGCACTAAAGAAGGTTGTGAAGGAATACGACGCGAAGGACGTGCGCAAGCACGTCGACACGCTATTCAAGCGTGTTGAAAAGCACTTTACGGAAGCCTCCGAAGCAGCTGTGGCGCAAAGCACCGGCATCGCTCCCGGTACCGTGCTCGTCGGCGTATGGAAGGCTTGTGAGGAAGAATTGCTTCGCATCACGGACGTGTTCAACAAGCATATCGCGCAATGTTATGCTAGCACGGGTGTTTCACTAGAGTATACCGCAGTCGATGTTGAGGCTGCATTCAAGCGTCACCGCGTAGGCTCTTGAGCTTTATCATCGTGCTCTTCACTTTTTCGACTTTTCGGACTACTCTTACATAGCGCTCTTTGTACTCGTGCCGTAGCATATCTCGCACTATCTATCTCCGTTGTGGATTACAAACTGTACAAATCGATGGGGAGAAGTGGTTGAAAACTCGAATCCCAGGACCCCCCCCCACATGCAACAGGCCCAGACTTGCCGCAGAAGTCTATCATGTAAAGTCCACGTGACCATCTACATGTAGCCACCGTTTTCTCCCGGAGTCTGGGGCGGGAGAGGCACACTGGAGGGGTAAGACGAGCCCGTGCTACGACCAGATGCACCAGAGGTCGAACGCGCGCCAATATCAGGACGCTCAGCTGGCTGTGAGCGCTTGCCGAGCGCGCCCAGAACTGTGGGTCCATATGCGCTCCAGAGTCCCTGCAGCGCTGCCGCAGGATTCGGACCGGAACCCGCGTTAGCCTGGCCATTCTGAGGCGCCTCAGCGGGCGCTATAGGCGTCTTGCTGACGACGCTCCATGCAAGTTCAAGGAAGCGCTGGCCATACTTCTGCAGAACGGTCAGAAGCTCAGTCTGGGCAGACTCGATGCCCTGGTCAATGTCGGTCTCGTGCGCCTGGAAGTACGGTTCGAGGTATGTTTGGTAGATGTAGCTAGAACCCTATAATGGAGCGCTTAGGATAAGTGCACACGAGACGGGCCGATCTAGCTTACTTGGGTCTGCGGCAGGGAAAGGAACAACAGGAAGAGTGTCTTCAACTCCCAATAAAACGGGAACCTCGAGGACGGTCAGTCTGGCTCGTGGGGATGAGTGCAGTGGAGCTCACCAGCTAATAGCCCACTCTGCCGCGTACTCAAAAGCAACAATAGCACCTATTACGGCCCAGTAACCGGCCCAACGTTCGAGCTCAGGCTCCGATACCGGGCGATGCTTAAGAGCCTTAAACATCTTATAGGATGGAAGGAGAAACGCGAACCATCCGCTGCACGAGCGACGGTTGAGACGCGTCACGGGATGACATACGTCGAGAGAGCTCACCACAGCAGATGGGAGATGAAGGAAGTGAGAGCCATAGTGAAGGAAGGGAATGAAGCTGTCGTGTGAGGGGGCGAGCAGTGTGGCCGCGGGAAAACGGCGGAACGTGGCGATCTGGAGAGGCTTCTGCGGTCAAGCGGTCAACGCGAACTCTCACTGCTCCCTGTGGGGCGCTTCGTCCAGGCGCCTCTTTCCTTTCCTTGCTTCTGACCACCACCATGGACTTCTCCGGCTCCGGTCCCCTCGGGCCACCCGGCTCTGTCATGCCCAAGGCGGAGGACAGCCCGAAAGACCTCAAACCGACGACAAAGACTCTCAATCGCGTCCCCCGTACGTCCGGCCTCTCTGCCCTGTTCCCCCCCTTCTGCTCACGCATCCGCACATCTCTCCCCAGGTGCCTGCGTGAGTTCCGATACTACCTGGCTTACCATCAATTTCTGAATGACCCGCCTTCCTGCTCTTCAGAATGCTTGCAGAAGTGTGTACTGATTTGTCCATCTTGCCTGGTCTCGTTCTGACAAATGTCTTCGCACTTCTATCTCTACGCTCGTCTCTCTCTTCCGCACTCTCGCGCAATCAGAACAAAAGATGCGCTGCGAGGGTGCAGACAACCCGCCGTGTCGCAGGCAAGTCCCCCTCTTGGACGCGTCGCGTCGCGTCGACTTTGCGTGCTCACACGGCGCTTACAGGTGTCGCCATGCCGGGCTGGAGTGTCTATTCGAGAAGCCAAGCAGAGAGGCCTCTTTGACTGGTGAAGCTGGGCTTGAGTGCGTATGGTATCGGCTTGTTGAACGCCCTTGTTGAGTATGACTGTATCCAGACGCATACGGAGCCTTGAGAACCAAGTAGCCGACGTTCGGCAAGGACAGATTAATATCCAGAACACACTGGCCGAGATCGTCGGCGTCCTACGCGGAGGTCCCCCTCCCCATATGATGCCTAATGGGCCCTACCCGCAGCCTCCGTACACGCATCCTTCTCCCAGCGTGCATTCTGCCTCTCCTGCACTCTCAACTCCGTCCACTGTTCGGCCCCCGCTTGATCCGCAAGGTCATCCCGTTATGGCTCCGAATCAGGTAAGTCATTCGCGCTTCTTTGTGTACATACCTTCCGGAGACTCATTCTGTCGTGTCACCAGGTCTACCATGGCCAGCCCACCTCACCCACCGCTCGGGGCCCACAAGACGGCCCACCAGGACAATATCCGCACCAACAACCGTACCCCATTCCAGTTGGCATGCATCCGCCTATGCTCCCTCCATTCTACAACGAGTCGATGGGCCCGCCTCGTGGCCCGCCCCCGCAGCAGGCTCAACAGCAGCAGCCACCACAGAACGTATCGTCGCTTCGCAATAACCTGGATCCGCAACTCCGCACCGCCGGCATGAAGCGTCCTATTTCCAGCGCCATCAGCGCCAATTCATCCGACGTGGACGACGAGCAGGGTGAGCTACCCGCGTCTGGCCTGACAGCCCCATGGGAAGTTCTCCGCGGACTTGCAGACGTCGCAATTCAACGAGCGGCCAAAGTGCGTAAACCTTCTGTGCGACGGAGAAGTTGGCGCTTATCTGCTATCTGTGTGAATAGGAGAACGGTGAATACAGTGAGCCTCCCAGTCGAGCCCGCTCGCCCGTAGATGGACCAGATGGCCGGCCTGCCAAGCGTCAGAAGACGAGCGCCTTGCCGAGGCACGTCGTCTTCCAAGACGGTGAGTTTCACATTGTGCGATGAGCTGCATGTACTGATTCGTCCGAAGTGGTATCGAAGGGTATAATATCGGAGGCCGAAGCGCGGGAGTTGTTCAGGATGTAAGCGCCCGCCTTGGTAGCAACGCTGAATGAGTCCACTGATGTTCGCCCAGCTACTATCACGGCTGTTCGACATTCCTGCCCATATTTGACAGCAGTCGAGACACATATGATTCGTTGCACGCGCGCTCTCCCTTCGCAGTCAATGCCGTGTGCATGGTTGCAGCTCAAGTACGTGATGGTGGAGGTGAGTTTCGTCTGGCGATGTTCGCGGAGCATGCACACTGACTTTTCTGAAGGTAAACCTAGCGATGTGTACAAGGCTTGCCTGGCTGAGGTCCAAAGCATCGCTTGCGCAACCTTATTCTCTCCGGTGATCCGGTACGAGGCGGTTCAAGCCATGGGTGCGTGATCTGCGCTTATGCGGTGTTTGCGCGACTGATTTGCCGCCGGCAGTTCTCATCGCTGGTTGGTCTGAGAATGGTTGGCTCAGCGGAGGCCACGCGGTGCGGATGGCGATGGAGCTGGGTGCGTACTGACGGGCGCTTAGTATAGCTCCTGATCTCACGTGTCGCAGGTATGCACAAGGCGTGGCCCCGTCTTGTGAAGCGAATGGACCAAGGAAAGCATGGCACTGGCCAGGAAGACGTCGACCTCATCACCGCGACTCGCACGTGGTTCTGTCTGTACCTATTTGAGCATCAGTATGTCCACAAATTTGTCTCTGCTCACATCCGCTGATGGCTTTCAGATTGTCTTATGGTACTGGACGGCCCGCCATCCTCAAAGACGACGAGAGCATCTGGAAATGTCGCTTGCTTCTACACCATCCGTTATCTATTGAAGACGACATGCGCCTCGTTTCGACAGTCGAGCTCATGGCAATTCGCGAGCGTGTACACAATCTGCTGGCTCCTCTCGCTAACGAGCCTTTGGACGACCGGACGTTCAAACCTCTTCACATCGCCCGCGACGAGTTCAAGAAGTGGTACCAGACTTGGGACACGCACTTCTCGACGAAGTATGAGAATGCTGCCTTCTATCGCCAGAGTCTTGAGATCCAACACCTTCACGCGGACCTCTATCACACTGCGACGGCCCTCAAGGGCATCAACGGTCCGGAAGACGTTCAGAATATGTCTGAATTGCAACGTTCCCTAGCCATCAATGCGATTCACACTGCACGTCAATGCTTAGAGATATCCTTGTCCTCGCCCGCGTACCGTGAGGGCATGAAATACGGTGCGTGTGTTCAAATCATCCCACGACCTCCACCTTACATTCCACGACAGCTGTCCATTACACTCACGCCACCGCCACGTTCACTGCTTCGTTCCTACTCCGTCTAGGGCGCTTATTGTGAGTGATACAGCACTGTTCCATGCATACATGTGCTCACGTCGTTCAGCCCTGCCGAATGCGATATGCAACATACCCGCGCCCTTGTTGAGCAACTGGCCGCCCTAATGTCCGAGAGTATGTCTCGAAGCTCGCCATACTGCATAATGCTCACACGCTCTTAGTACCTGGCAAGCGCTACGCACTCACGTTGCAACTCATGCTCAAGCGTTCAACCCGCCGTGGCTCCGTCGTCGGACATGGCCATCGTGGTAGCGTCAGCTACGGCAAGATGGCCGTCGATCGTCCCTCAAACCTTTCTGTGGCCCAAGTGATCAATAATTCGCCGACGCCAGTTTCTCCGACGAGCTCCTACGAGGTGGTGCCTCAGCAACACGGTGGCCCGCAACAGTACACGCACCAGCAGCAGATGCCGATGCACCCTGCTCATCAGCAGGTGCTGTACCAGGCGCAACAGGGTCATACGCCCAACGCAGACAACATCTGGCGCGGATTCGAACAGACTTCGAGCGAGCAACTTCCTGTTTGGCTCTCCGATCAAAGCCTTGGCGGCAACTCTTTCTCGCAGAGCGGCATTGATGCGTTCCTCCTACCCAATGATTACCTACCGCCCGCTCCCCAGATTTGGTAGGGCGGTCAGTCACTCCTATGATTTCATGCCACTGGACTCTCTTTCGGCGTTACACGTACTCGCCGCCTACCGCGTTTTGTTCATTACTCGGAGGGGTGGAGTATCACTCTTCGTACTGTTCTCTTGCTTTCCTGGATTGTCTACCCTGTTGTTTGCTTGCTCCTGTGTATGTAACTCCCCACGCTCGGACTCGGTCGGGCTACCTTGACTGATTGAATGTTACAATCGCGACGAATGCGAAGTCGTATGACAGCAGACACGATGGAATGAGTTGAGGAGTGGTATGCGTTGATCGTGACACGTTGACACCTGAACGTGCAGTGCCTTTCTCTCCGACTACCAACATCGACTATCTAGCCACTGGAGTACAGCCGCCATGGTCCATTTCGACAATCCGGAGCCTTTCACGCCCACTACACCGTCGACATCTCGTCGGCCATCGGAGCCTGTTGCGCCTCACCGCAGACCAGCAGAGCCACCGTTTATCCCGGAACCGCCCGAATCACTTCAGCCTGATACCGTGTTGGAAGCGCTTGCGGCTATGGAGCCTCACCAGATGCCGAACGCGCAGAGGCGGAAGTCGAGCGCAGCGATCTTCCGCGGTTTGGAGCACGACTTCGATACCCAAGCCGAGGACCTCCCTGAGGAGTTCAGGACCACGCACAGGCAACCTCAAGGCAGAGAACGCAAGCCCGGCGCTGTCTTCGCTCACTACGCCGCCGAGCAATTGCGCCGCGCTAGCTCAGTCGTTGGTCCACAAATCGCCAGTCTGGTACCGGAGATGGTGAGGTCAGCAGCAGGTGCCTTCCATGATGCACACAGCGAAATGCGGTCTGGAACAGTGGGTTTCCCGCGCATTTTCAAGGGTCGTGAGTACAGGCCTTTTGTGCCGACCGTTCGCCGCAGCAAGCAGCTTGGGGTGCCAGACGCCAATGGGAATTTTCTCTCTCGTCTCGGACCCAAGAACGGCCATCTCGACGACTCGAACTCTGAAGATGACGATGAGGAGACGAATCTGCGATACAAACTTGGCCGTACGCCCCTTTCTACCTTTGACGATACATGGTGCTTATCCATCGACTCTATAGCCGTGCAGTCGCGGCGCAAGTTCGTCTTGAGGCTCGCCAAGGCGCTCATGACGTATGGCGCACCCTCGCATCGCATTGAAGAACAACTGAACGCCGCATGTGATAAACTCAAGCTCAGGGCGCGCCTCGCTTACCTTCCGAACATCATTATTGTTGCCTTCAGTGACGAAGCATCCCACACGGACGAGCTGCACTTTGTGCGAAGCAGTGGCTCGCGCATCTCACTCACGTTTCTTCGCATCATACACGACATCTATCGCGACGTCCTGCACTATACATGCAGTCCGGACGAAGGCTCGCGACAGTTGGCCGTCCTGCTCAAAGCTCCCCCGATCTATCCATTGGCCCTACGTTGCTTCTTCTCGCTCATATCTTCATCGGTCATCTGCGCCCTCGCCTTCGACGGCAGTGTGGTGGATATGGGAGTTAGCGGCGCCCTCGCAAGTTTTACACAGTACTTGGGTTTGACGCTTGCAGCCAAGAGCTCGGTTTACGCGAATGTTTACGAGTCGGTGCTCTCATAAGCTGGCACGATCGCAGCGCTAACGATCTTTGCAGGATTTCCGCTGCCATGTTCGTATCCTTTGCCGCGCGGGGCCTCAGCAGCATTCCGGGTCGCATTTTCTGTTACTCCGCAATCTCATCCGGCGGCGTCGTCCCGCTTTTGCCGGGCTACATTGTTTGTGAGCGTAGTATTCACGATGATCGTGCACAAGTGCTGAAGGTTTGTCTCGCAGTGACTAGCGCTCTTGAACTCACACAACGCAGCATCATTGCTGGCGCTGTGAGACTCGTATACGCAATCATCTATACATTCTTCCTCGTACGTCTGTGTGACATCTGTACAGGCTTCGACTTACACAGTCACTAGGGGTTCTCTATGACCATCGGTTCGGACGTGTTCCTGCTGTTCTACCCGAAGGGGAACGCCTTGACGGACTTTGCGGCAAACGCGGCTGCATCTCTTGACTACGTACACGGCGTTCTCACCGCACCGGCAGACAAGAATAGCGGTCATGCTGTCAATTTTACTGCCACGTTCGGCTTCAAGAACGAGACGTTGGCGGTAGCCACAGCCAAAGGTACGGAGTTCAGACTGCGTCACTTCCGCGAGTGGCTTATAGACGCATACAAGCCTGCTTTCGTGGCCCTGAGTGGCCTTGGCCCTTTCTGCCGTCCCTACACTGGCCGTGGTGGCGTTATCTGATTCTCGTTCCCGCATACGCAACAGCGATCTCGCTCTCGAACCTTCAATCGTACAGGAGCTGGCGTCTGATTGTCATGGTCGGCTTTGCCTGCGTTGCTTACTTGGTCAACACTTTCGCCCACCGTCTTGTGGGAGGTCCGTCGATCGACGTAGCTTCCGCTTTGGCGGCAGCAGCACTGGGCACTATGGGCAATATCCAGTCACGCATCTTTGGCGGGACAGCATTCACCTCTATGGTTCCAGGAGTGCTCTTCCTTGTGCCGGTAAGTTCGAATGAATCCACTCCCGGGCAGAATATCAGCCTGATATCCTCCATTCCAGTCCGGGCTTGCACAGGGTGGTGGTCTCGCAGGAAACTCCGATTCTGGGCAAATATCAGACAGTTTCGCCCTGGGTATGCGCATGATCAACGTCGCTATCGGCGTTACGATTGGTCTGTCAGTCAGTCAAACCATTGTGTATGCCGTGGGTCGTAGAAAGAGTGGAGGGCATATGGCCTTCTGAATCCTTGAGTACAATCATGGTTTTCCATTTCAGCCTACTTTTATCTGTCCTTACGTTTCTTCGGTATATCATACGCTATAGATGTCCGGGTGAAAGCTCACACGCTGGGAAGCAAAGTGCGCCGTTCTGTGACTTCGACAGGTAATGAAGTTTCTCGTGAATGCTAAGTACAACAATGCTGGCGAGATTCTCAGATTCTGCGTTGAGCCCGCACACGTGCTACTCGTACTCGTACAGGCATCGATGATGATGAACGATGTCTACAGCGCCACCGGCGCATAATCTTGGGTTTCGTTGACCAAGCTCATACGACGGAGTTCAGCTGGTATCTGTAGGGCCAATCAGCAAGAGTCATCGGCATACACCCAGATAAACTTACGCTGAATGACTCGGCGAGTGGCTTTGACAGCTGACGTCGCAAGAATACCGACTGGGGTGAAGCAGGTCTGTGTAATCCGTTTACCATACCCACTCTGTCCTTCTCGTCCCCCGAGTAGATCGAGCCGGCGGCTGTGGCACTTTCGGACCGAGGAGTTTGGGGTCCGTCGGTGCTGGAACCGTGATCCGTTGACGATGACGCATACCCATAACTGGACGTCTGTACCATAGGCGGCGGGCGCGCGAGTAACGGTGGGTGTCGCGCGTCGAGATCGCGCATCTGACCGGAGTCTGCGGTGGATGGGCGTAGCGGATTCCGGCGTTCCAGTGGAATAAAGTCTGATACAGACGCCCCACCATGCGCTTGGAGAGGCGGCGAGATGTGTACGTCTTGCCCGTAGATTGAGTCTTGATCCCTGTCATCGTCTGGTAGGGACGGGGGATAGATGGATGGCGTGGACACGGCGCGCGAAGGCGCGCGAATAGCTTCAGGGGCGTCGTGGTCACCAAATGCACCGTGCCCGTGTTCTGATGGGCGGTAATCGGCAAATGGGCCCTCGTATGCACGATCTCGTTGGTCGTACTCTACAAAGCGTCCCTCTGCAGAGCCAGACTGTCGGAAAAATAAGGACGGGCGAGGGTGTGCCGGCTCAGCGAAGGGGTCATCCATGTTCATTGGTATGATTGAAATCGACCGGCGCTCCGCCGTCTGAGGCGTTGTTGGTTCATCACGGAATGGGAAGTGCGGCAGCCTAGACTCAAGACGGGCTTGCCGTGCACGGCGACGACGGCGACGGATTAAGCACAGCAGTAAGGCTGCGAGAGCCGTGGCTACGACTCCGACCGCGACGAACGTACCAGCGACTGCGCCCGCGTTGTCAAAGAATCTTCATCAGACAAATCAGATAATGCACTGATGTCGAGCGTATATGTATACGTACGAGTGCTTGCTTAGAGCATTCAAGCTACTGTTTGGGTTGGCGATCACGTGGGTCACTTGGACTACCATCCCATCTGTCCTTGTGGAAGGTAACACCGACGTAACGAGAGGCGGGGCGGAGAATGCGGTCCTTCCATCGGATGCAGTGACCGCGATTGATACGGGCCTCGAGAAGGTCGTCTCAGGCGCTTCCGTGACTGTGCTGATGGTGGTAGAACCCGGGATGTCAATAACATTCGGCGCGGACGCGGACTTGGCCTGTGAAGGGCCTGCAGTGATGGTGGACGACCCTGAAGATAAGGATTCGTTTGAGTTGTCGGTCGAAGAGGTGATGGAAGGCGAAGACGGCGCGGGGGAAGAGGACGCGGGAGAAGGGGGTGCAGACAGCGGCCCCGACTTTTCGCCGGTTGAAGAAGAGCTGACCGTACCAGCTCCCGAAGATGCGGCGGTCTCGATGACGGATGCGCTGGAGACAGGTGCTTCAGCACCGGCATGTTGAGAGCTGGAGCTTGATGGTGAAGGTACAGGGCTAAGAGGAAGAGATGCTGCAACTTTGCTGGAAGGGCTCGGAGTCGACGATGCTTGACTCAACGGAGCTGCCGATGCAGGGGTGGACGGCGCTGCTGACGCTGAATCGGTCGAAGCCGCTGGCCCGGGCGATGATGCCGGGCTCTTCGAACTAGACGACAACGCGGGTGATGTAGACACAGAGGAAGAGGAGACCATGGTGACTGTAGAATTGACCGCCGTCAAAGTAGCAGTGCTAGATGAAGAACCAGATGTCGTTATCTTGACTAGGGTCGCTCTAACAAGCGTTGACGTTAATGAAACGGTTGTAGTGGATGCCCTATGTATGGACGTATGAGCTTCGATTAAGCGAATGAGGGCGCGGACGTGAGGCAATTATTACCTAGACAGCTGTATGGTAGCAGGGCTCGGCGTGGACACTACTTCAACGACCGTGGAATTCCTCGTGAAAGTCGACACGCTGGTCAATTCCGGAGCCGACGCAAACGTTGACAGTGGCGCCGTGTCGTTCCCAGCGCCGAGTTCGAGGGTAGTGCTGACGGATCCTGCGCAGGTGTATCATGTCAGTACATATAGTCACTTGAAAGGGTCGCGAGGTGTGATCGTAAAGCATATGGTGATACGAGATCATTGAGCTTCGAGCGTATGCATGGTAGTCACAAGCTACTCCCGCAGAAGTTGTATTGCTCGAGGTAAGGCTATTACGGCGTGTTCCATAAGGGCACAGAGCACGAGACAGACTGCAGGTGCTGGATAGTATGGGATATAAACTCACCTGAAGAAACGCCGGACGGGTTGAGGCCAGAGGACATGTATACGAGCCTACAGCGTCAAGAACAGTTCGAGCGCCAACTAGGTTGTACTGCACATGCCGTGCCAAGGGCGAGAAAGGCCAGGGAGGGCGCGCGTATGTAGGTCCGACGTATAAGTACACGCCGGAGGAAATCGCGGCTCATGGGGAAATCTCGAGCGTAGATCGCAGAATCTGACATGCCGGACTACGTTGCCAGCAGAGTAACGAGGTCAGCCGAGAGCCTCCCACAAGGTGCAATCCTCACGTACAGAGTCTATTGACTGTCGGACGTGCTCGGCGGATGTGCGAGCCGCGCAGGATTGCGCAGATAGAAAGAACTGTGCTGATGGTATCGCATGGTGATATGCAACGCGTCGGCCAAAGATGGTCAACGGCCCGAGGAAAGCAGGTGCTTCGACATTCTTTGCCATGCGCCCCTTGCTAAATGGATACTCTTCTCATTTGATAGGGGTTCAGTCGAACAACACGGTACACATGAGACAGCAGCCTGCCACGATGGCCGTTCTGGTGAGAGCCGGACCCGCCGCGACACGGTGACGGGTCCGCCGGGGTGGGAACTAACCCAGGTGGAGTGGTCGACATACTACTTTGCGCGCACATACTCTACATCACGTAGGCCGCCCAGGTACCCGCAGCAGCGCCACATGTGGGAGCTTGAAGTACCATGAGACCGCTCGCACAGCCGTCACGGTAAAGAATGGTCCAATTTACATAGATGATAGATTTGTCATGTACGGGAACGATGTATAGTACGGTTCGAAACGGTAGAGTAGTCTAGAACAAAAAGCATGAAGATGATGGTGGAGCAGCGACTAGGATAGATACAGAGCTATGTGGCATTAAGCGCACAAAACACATACGGGAACTAAGCGGACAAGGATGTGGTATCGACGGACGCGAATTGACGGGTATGCGGACTTAGAGACCATGAGAAGATGCCAGTACTGTACAGATATCAATGAGACCTCCAGATATAAGCCGAATCCGTGGAGGCGGATGGACTGGGGCGAGAAAGATGAGCGGGGACCCAAAGGTGGATTCGACTGGTCAACCCGTACAACAACGCTTTCCCGGCACCAGGTTCTTGAGCTTGAAACCTCCCGATCCTTTCCGTTTCCCACTGAGGCTCCCAAAGCTCAGTCGACTAGAGCTATTGACACGACGAAGCGCACGATCGCCATAACTAACGCCGCTGCCCGCTTTCTCTGGATCCAGAGTTCCGGACTCAATAGCGAGCAGGATTGAGCGTGCGGCTAACAGAAAGGGCGCTTCAACATTATCGCCCGTTAGAGACGAAGCCTCAAGGAAATGAATGTCTATTCGTGTCGTCAGTCTCCACGTAGAATCGATACCTGACGCATTACGCACTGTTGTCGGCTGCCCATCGGTTCGCCTCATCCCATTCGACCTCCCTCTCGTCTTCACGATCCGACTTGTTGCCTACAAGTACAACGACCAGACTTGAGCTAGCAAGAGCTCTTGCGTCCGCTAGCCATCGTGGCAAGTTGAGAAACGAAGCTCGGCTGTATGCAGTGAGCCTCGACTCAGCTCTGGAGGACGTGCATTTACTTTGTTATATCATAGACAAGGACAGCTCCGGCCGCTCCTCTGTAATAGCTCCGGGTGACAGATCTGATAAGGATGTCAGCCGTACGCACTCTCGCCGCACCGTTGCATAGACCCACCGAAACCTTTCTTGGCCGGCCGTGTCCCACAACTGTCCGTACGAGAGAGGTCTGTGATCGCACTGCGGGAGAGAATGACATACTTACCTGTAACTTAATTCTTTTCTCTCCTAATTTGATAGTTCTGCTAGAGAACTCCACTCCTATGGTATGTTGCGAGTGATCTTTGACTACGAGAGGTCATGAGCGGTGGAACTCTCAAGGTTGAGTCGGCAACGGACAGGAATTGTGGGTGAAGTGATGCAGTAGACAGGATTTGCCTGTACCGGCTTCCCCTAATATATGATGAGTCAGAGCTTCAGAGACGACGTAAAGCTCAAACTTGCCGATAATGATGTACTTCATGAGGAAGTCTGGAGCTGAGTGAACACCTGGTCGATATACTCGGAGCTCGATGCCTACGGACCATAAGTCTCGAGTAACTCTGTAGCCTCAGCATCATATTCGTTTGACGGCATTGAAGCCTGCGATGAACCACGCCGATGGAAGACAAGAGCAGTCTGTGGCCGGAGCGGCGGGCGCTGGTGCCGGCACTAAACCTGAACGTTGCTCCGTGGGAACGTGAGTTTCAAACGGCGCGCGCGCGTCTTCGTTCTTTGCTTGCTTGCTGCCGTCGTCGTCGTGGACTCAAGTCGAAGCTTTGATCCCCATCATGTCAGAAAACGGTGTCAAGGATATAAACATGGACTCCAAGTCTTCGTAGGTCCATCATTTGTGTTATTATTAATGATGAGGATTGACTGGGTGCAGCGTTCGATCCCGGGATCACTCTACGGACACCCTGCGGACCCGTAGGTCCCACCGGTCCGGGTCAAGGGACAGGCGAGACAGTCGTCACCGTGAGCGCGAGCGTCGTGGCTCTCGTGAGCGATCTCACAGGGACGAACGTGACCGGGAGCGCTCGCGCCGGGATCGCGACTACGACCGGGACAGGCGCCACCGTGAGCACGACCGGGACGAGAGGGACCGTCGGCGCCGGAAACGTGACGAGGAAGTAGACGAGGCTGATGGCGACCGTCCCAGGAAGAGGCGTGACTACGACGACAGGAGCCCCCGTCGCGGCGATGACCGAGGACACTCCCGCGACCGCGACAGGCCTCCCCGTGACCGCGGCCCTCGGGATGATCGCCCGGACCGCCACCACAGCCGAGGCGCACGCGATGACAGGCCCCCGTACGAACGCGAGCGCTCTCATCGCCCCCGTTCGCCTCCACCGCCTCCTAGGTAACTCTTACCTCTCGCTGTGCGAGCCAGAAAAGAACTAACGACCGTCGTCAGGCTCTCGCCTCCGCTCGAACCCGGAAACGAAGACCCTGTGGTCGAAGAACCGAATCCAGAGGACTCTGAAGCGCGGTCTGTCTTCGTTTCTCAGCTTGCGGCTCGCCTTACAGCCCGTGACCTTGGCTACTTCTTTGAGGATAAACTCGGTGACAATACTGTGCTAGATGCACGCATCGTGACGGACAGATTATCTCGTCGTTCGAAAGGGTACGTCGGCCAATCACGCCATTACAGCGTGTAGCTCACTGGGATACATAGGATCGGCTACGTCGAATTTCGCAACATTGACTTGGTGGACAAGGCCCTCGGCCTGAGCGGCACCGTTGTCATGGGTTTGCCTATCAAGGTTCAGTTGACTGAAGCCGAGAGGAATCGCACTCATGCAGGAGATGGGTACGTCAGAATCCAGGCACTTCTCTTGTTACAGGGACTCACTCATCTTGCAGATCTATGAACCTTCCTCCCGGCGTCCGCGCCTCAGCCGGGTCCATGCAGTAAGCACGGCCTAATCCCGTCACCTCACATATTCTGACAACCTCCGTAGACTTTACGTTGGCTCTCTTCACTTCAATCTGACCGAAAGCGATATCAAGCAGGTGTTCGAACCTTTCGGCGAGCTCGAGTTCGTCGATCTTCACAAGGACCCGGCCACTGGTCGTAGCAAGGGTTATTGCTTCGTGCAGTACAAGCGTGTTGAGGATGCACGTGTGGCTCTCGAGCAGATGGACGGCTTTGAGCTTGCCGGCCGCACTGTAATTATTGATCATCAACACCATATTTACTTACTGACACGGTTGCTAGCTCCGTGTGAACACTGTTCACGAAAAGGGTAACGTCAAGTATGCTCCGCAGGAGTCTCTAGAAGATGGTGGTGGTGAGGGTTCCTCGCTGTTTCACGCAATAAGTGACTAACCTATTGGCCCAGGCGGTAACTTGAACGCGGCTTCTCGTCAAGCGCTGATGCAAAAGCTTGCCAGGATCGAACCGGATCATTCGCCCGAGCCAATGTGAGTCCTTTCCATCTTAGTGTCCAAGCAGATCTAATGTCACACGTAGGGCTCGTCCCAACATCCAGGCTATGGAGTCCCGCTGCGTGCTCCTCAGGAACATGTTCAAGCCCGAGGAAGAGACTGAACCGGAGTGGGACAAGGATTTGGCCGACGATGTCAAAGGCGAATGCGAGAGCAAGTATGGCAAGGTTGAACGCATCAAGGTTGTTAGAGACTCGGCGGTCAGTCTTTTCTTGGAACGTATCTCGTTAACTTGCCTAACGAGTTGCGTAGGGTGACATCTACGTTAAGTTCGACAACGTCGAAAACGCGCGTAAGGCTATCGATGGCCTCAACGGTCGTTGGTTCGGAGGCATGCCTATCACGGCCGCCTTTGTATCCGACGCCATCATGCAAGCTCACTTGTAGACGTCCACGCACAACGTCTGTCGACTGCTGTCTAAGTGACGCTACTGAACGGAGCGTTGAAAACAGGATGAATTTGGGGTCGATGTCTACATGTATTGAATTGTTTTTAGGTCCTTCATTTTGCTTGCAACCTGTCACGCTGCTCCTTCAACTTGGTGTCAGAGGCAGGTTTTCTCTATGTCCCCTCTAGTTTACAGGTGCCGCCTCTCAATTTTCACTTTGCTCTAATAGATATTCCCTTTGCGCTTTTGCGTGCTCTTTCGCCACCCCAGTTTCGTGAGTTCAAGTAGAGGAAACATCCCTGTTCATAACGGTATAAGCGCGCGATTGATCAGCTATCACTACCAGGTTTACATACACAATATACCAGCATATTGCGATGTGCATCCAAATTGCGCACGCTCGATGGCTCAATCGAGGCGAAGAGAGAGCCTATAGTGAGCTGAGCTGGAGCCGAGCATGTACAGGCGCCTCGCTCAAAATCGGTAAGAGTGATACGGTTGATTCAACAGCACTCAGTGTTCTTCTCATGCAGTTCTTTCGATATGATGGTCGAGCTACATTCCATCAGCCAGATGCGCGATACCCCGCCCTGGGACCGAGCATACCGATACTCGCTCATCTATCATCAGTGGCACCACCTTTAAAGACAATGAGCAGCACACTGCATTAGAGTCGTGCTTCGGGGAGAGCGTGGCTTCTAGCATTGATGCCGTAGCTGTCGAGCTAGCACCCTCACTGGGTATATTGGTTGGCGCGTCTTGAGCCTCTTACTCACCCTGCCTGACATTCATGTGACAATACCCTACTGGAAGCCATCAATCCCGTCGGAGCATCGACTCCGAACGTTCGACATGTTCATAGTACAAACCTCAGTGTTTTTAGCAGACTTTCCGGTGCCCTCTATCTAAGCTGTAACCTTGCCTCATCTATCTCCTGTGCCGCTTTCCTAACCAGAGCTTGTTTTGAGCCCCTGACTCAAAGCGACAATGGCGTCTTTAATCATCTGTTTCCCAGAGTTAAGGGCACTACAGCATATGCGTGAGACATTGCGGTCACAAATACTAGCATGGCCGCTTACTCTGTTGCATAGGACCAGCGCAATCATGGGCATCCCAAATTAGCAACAAGCCTACACAGACACGACGTAGCTTACCGTCCATAGCCATGATAGGGTGCGGACAGCCTTTATAGACCTTCCACTCGCATGGCACCCCAGCGGCTCTCACTTTCTCTCCATACGCCAATGCCTCGTCACGAAGAACGTCGAGTTCCGCGACTGCAATCCAAGTAGGCGGGGACTTCGTGAACAAATCGTCTGGCGCCAAAAGCGGTGAATTGTCCCAGCGAACCCTGTCAGCGACATTCGGTAGGTATTGATCCTGAAACCATATCATTCTCGCAGCCGGAAGCCAAGTTGTATGTTCATTCTCCTTCCAAGAGGCGTAGCGTTGATCTGTCGGCGAAGCGGTATTGTCCGTCACGGGCACAATGAGGAGCTGGAAAGCGAGAGGGACGGCAGGATCCAGCGTAGGAGCCTTGAGGGCCGCTACTGCTGCTAGGTTACCACCGCTAGAGGCCGTCTTGAGCGGAGATTGGCAGAAGAACAGTCCGGCGAACTGACCTTGAAGAGCCACCAATCGCGATGCGCGATGGCGAAATCCCAAGCAGCTCCGGACCTTCCTTGTATACCCAGAGCAGGGACTCGATGGTGTCTTCGACTGCAGCTGGATAAGGATACTCAGGCGCGAGACGATAGTCGACGGAGATGACCACGGTTTTCGCGCCTGCGAGTAGCATTAGCGAGCTCTACCCCATGGTACGCGCGTCCATTCACCTTTGCAGATCTGCGAGCTGAAAGAGTTCTCCGAATCGATGCTACCCAAAGTCCAACCACCCTGTGTCCTCCTCAGTCACTCGGGTAAGCGCGATTCATTTCAGGTGACAAACCCCATGATAGAATACAAATGCGGGCCATCCACCCTCCGGCGCCTCGCCTTCAGGGGTGAACACACGCAACCAGGGCTTGCGGTCCAGTGTGGTCGAATAATCCTTCACGCTGCCAACCTTGACAGGCGCTGAGCCCCCTGGTACGGTTGGTCCTGAGCGTATCTGTGGGGTCCAAGGCACCTCATGGCAATGCATATGGTACAATAGCTTCTCATTGTGAAAACCCTCATATTCGGGGTCGATGCGGTCCGCGATGGACGAGTGTAGCGGGTGGGCGAATGGTTGTACTATAGTGCTCATGGCGGTTAGATCCAAGGATGATAATGCTCAGCTAGAGAACTGATGCTGAGTCATACCACCGTCGGTCCTTACGGACAGGAGATGGAATAGATAAAGCCGAAGATAGGACACGAGATCAGCGTGGGCGAAGCATATGGACCCGGTCTGCCAGGCCCGCGGAATTCGCCCTTCCGTTCTTCCCACCTCGATCGACAGCTGGGCGACTCTCATCAAGCCAATCGGTATATAGGGTTCAGACACCTTTAGAGTGCCATTGAATCGAGGCTCGTCCCCATCCAGCAATCGCAAGGTTTTCTATCCGCGGTACTTGCGATGGCTAGCGTATCACAAACCTACACTCCTCATCAGCTCATTGCTCGGACTGAGAAGGATGCCCTGATCAAGGAATTCGTTGGAAAGGGACTGAACGAGCTTCGTACGCCTGCTTTGGTCATTGACCGCGGCGTCTTCGCCTCCAACTGTGCACGCATGCACGAGAAGGCGCGTGAATGGGGTGCTGGATTCCGCGCGCACCTGAAGACCCACAAGGTGGATACTCCATGAATAGGAGTCTTTTATGACTGCGATTGACGCGCAGTATACCAGACTGCCGAGGGAACTCGCTTACAACTGACCTCTAGCGCGGATGCTACCCATGCTGTGGTCGTCTCCACTCTAATGGAAGCGTGGCAGGTTGTGAACGCGGGCCTAGTCTCTGAGGGTATTGTGAAGGATGTGAACCAGATCATCCTAGCCGACTCGAATCGATGCTAATGAAGCTCCGGTGTATAGATCTTGTACGGGCTGCCTATGGCCATCAACAAGATCGCCGACCTGTCTGCTCTCTGGGAAGCGATCTCCACGCATGGCGCCATCGTCCGTCTCATGATCGATAACCTCGCGCAGGTCGAAGCGCTGGAGGCCTTTGAGTCAGCGCGGTTGAATAAACGAAAGTGGTCTGTTTTTATCAAGTGCGATGGCGGGCAAAGGTAGGTCTTGATAAGCCTGGCCCTACACCCTTACGCTGAACATCACCACCTAGTCGCGCGGGTGTTATTCCTGGCTCACGGGACTTTGAAAGCCTCGTCAAGGGTGTTCTCGCCTCTCCGGCGACAGAGATCTTTGGTTTCTACGCGCATGCTGGTAATGCATATGCGTCCACGTCATCTGACGAGGCCGCACAGTTCCTGTCGTCCGAGGTCGAGACTGTGAACAAAGCGGCTGAACTGGCGAAGAACCTGCTTACTGACGAACAGCCGCCATTCGTGCTCTCTGTCGGCTCGACTCCTACGGCTCACGCTGCATCGGCTGAGACCAGACACAGACTCCGGGAGTTGTTGCATGGCACTCTCGAGCTTCATGCAGGTTCGCAACGTCGGTCATTGACCTAGTCCATATATTGACGTCGATGGCAGGCAACTACCCTATGCTTGACTTACAGCAGTTGAGCACACATCTCATCCAGCGAGAGCAGATTGCTCAGAAGCTTCTGGCTACTGTCATCTCATTTTATCCTGGAAGAGGAGGGGCGGACGAGGCTATGTGTGACGCTGGAGGTGTCGCATTAAGCAAGGATACAGGTCCGGCTCCAGGTTATGGTGATGTCATCGGAAAAGCATGGCGCATCGGCCGCACGTCTCAAGAACATGGCATCCTTGTTCGTACGGAAGGAGATGGTGACTCGTCACTCAGAATCGGTGAAGTGATCGAGGTCATAGGTACGTGTCCGTACTGCATACGATGCAGTTGTCACTGAACATGTTTGAAGGACAACACGCGTGTTATATCACGGCCGCATATCCATGGTATTACATTACAGATGGTGGCAGGGAAGTAGTGGATGTATGGGTGCCATGGAAAGGCTGGTAGGCTTCCAATGTACGAACATTGTTGGTTTAAAACCTGAACAGAGCTGCACGCATCATGCCACATCATCACCATACTACCCCATGTTCTCGGCTTTGAAGTCACCCGCTGAGATCAGCTGTTGATGGACTATGAGATTGTAGTTGTCTAAGTATACATGCGGAATGGTGTCCCTCCAATTTGACCAACATTCATCACTATGGTAACCCCAGACGCGCGCGCACCTTCTTCTCACCCACACCAAGCTCGGTCTCACCCGCTTTGGCATACAATTGTTCCAACGGGTTTTCGGGGCCCTCCTTCTCGAGGTCGTCTTCAATCTTTGTAAACTCCTTCTGGAATTTGCCGTTGAGAACTTGGTTGTAGAGGATCTCCTTGAAGTGAGCACGAATAGCGGTACCGTCTAGCTTCAGCGCGCCGTTGAGTTGGCCATACTGCGACACAGACGAATGGTGCTTGAGCTGAGTGATGAAGCCCTCGTCCGACGCCGCCTCGAAGATCTCTGCGGGCTCCTTGCTCATCCACCTGGCGCAGCGTCAGAACGGCCCGGAGATTGGGATTGAGACTAGCGTACATCTCGTACACAAGCGCCTCATCAGAGCAGCCAGCCTCCTTGAGAACACTGTAAGCCTCCGTGAAGAGCTTGATGATGTTCGGCCAGAGTGCTTGCTCGGCAAAGAGGTCCATTGTGGTCTCTTCCCTTACGGAAGACTCGATAGCGCCGGTCTTCGTCGCGCCAATCGCTCGTGCGAGCGCCAGTGAAAGAGCGAGGCCCTTGCCTGTGCCATCCTGTTCAGTGGAGACGAAGCAAGGGAAGCCTTTGCCTTTTTCGTAGAGCGACCGTACTTGAAGAAGATTATCAGAATTATTCGCGAGCTACAGGAGATTGATACTCACCGGAAGAGCCAATCATGCGAGGCGCCACCATGACAACGTCCTGGCTGGGCTTGAACTCGAGCAGTTTATAGAACACGTTGTAGCTATAGGTCGTTAGCAAGCGTAGTCTTGCGAGAGCATTGAACGGACATACCCCGAAGCTACGACGATACATGCGGAGTCCTTCAATCTAGGCGCAACCTCCTTGTTGAAGATACGCGGCTGCACCTGGTCGCTATAGGGCACAATGAGCGTCGAACAGCGAGAGCGTGGCTGGATGTGGGGCGTACGGCACGAGAAGGAAGAGGACATCTGCAACGGATGCTGCCTCACCAAAGTCATGAGTCACCTTGAAGCCCTTGGACTCGGCGTCCTTCGCATAGTGGTCCTCGCGGTTGGCGATCAGGATCTTGTCGTTGGAGATGCCCGAATCGCGCAAGTTCTGAGCCTGTGCGGCACCCTGATTGCCGAAGCTGGTCGAAAATGATGAGCGATGAATTACATACATGACATAGACACCTACCCAAGAAAGACAATCGTCTTATCCTTGAGCAGGGCGAGGTCTGCGTCGGAGTCGTAGTAACTGAGCGGCGATCCAGGGTCAACGACCGTGCGGAGTGAACAAGAATAAATGTACGCACATCTTGGCCATTATGCGAGAGGAAAGTGGGTGCGATGGAACTGATAGCCATTCCGAGCATGATTGTGCGCCTTTTATCTGCGTAGAGCTAGACCCGTAGACAGTTACCGTCACGAGCACTGCGGTACTAGCGGACGACCGTGGAGAATCCCTGTGACCGTCGAAGCCAAGCCATCTATCGGCTTTCGGGGCGCGGGCCGCGTACCGTTTCTTCTTCCTGACGTCGACTACGAGCAATCCGTCTTCCGTTGAACAGCTGACCTTCCAAGCGAAGGATTGAACGAACCAAGCGCTATAATAGTGTGACAGAGTGATCTATAGCTGCGCGACTTGCGCCGCCTGGATTTGAGTCCTCTCTAACTCTCCGCCCAGCCGTGCGTTGTAGCTCCCTCAAATCATGTCTACCTCTCTACTTGCCGACCGTATCGTCGCCATCACTGGCGCATCAAGAGGGATAGGTCGTGGATGCGCTGTTGAATGTGCAAGGCATGGTGCAAAAGGTCTTGTGTTGCACTACTTCGGGGACGCTGCCACTCAAGCTGAGGTCGATGCGCTGGCCACTGAGCTGTCCACGAGTTATGGTACAAAAGTCATCACCGTGCCAGGGGACATCGGACTGCATGAAACGTCTTTGAAGGTACAATATCGCTACTTGAGGGAGCCGGTGCGTTGTACCTTGACCGAATTTCTCAAGATTGTCGGCGAAGCAACCCAAGCCTTTGGTCGGATTGATGTGTTGGTGAGCAACGCAGGTTGGCTAACATGCCTTTCACATGTCGCTCTGGTCATGATATCGCTCCTCGTAGGGATATGCCCTTTCGCCGACTTCCTCGACATGGACGTAGAGGTCTGGCATCGCACTCGGGCTGTCAATCTCGACGGCGCGTTTTACATAACTCAGGCTGTTGCGCGCCAGATGAAGGAGCAAGTCCCTCAAGGCGGTTCAATCATCGGCATATCGTCTATCTCTGCCCTAGTGGGCGGTGGGCAGCAAGTGTATGTACACGTCTCATTATATGCTTTTCCATATGTCTCATACTTTGAAAGGCACTATACGCCGACAAAGGCCGGCATACTCTCGCTAATGCAGAGTACAGCTGTCGCTTTGGGGAAATATGGGATCCGAGCCAACGCGATCTTACCTGGAACAATCCTTACAGACATCAACAAGGAGGATCTGTCGAACGTGGAGAAGCGCGTCGGGATGGAGAAGAGGACGTGTCTTGGTCGTCTTGGTCGTGAGCACCTCCTATTCGTGCTTCTTAGCCGCCATATAAATACAGTTCGTTGCAGAGCCCGACGACATTGCCGGCCCTGTTGTCTTCTTGGCCAGCGACATGGCAAAATACGTTACTGGCGCCTCTCTTCTTGTCGACGGAGGACTATTTGTGAACCTCCAGTAGATTGGATGCGTTATGTGGGGATCAAAGTATACTTTAGATTATGCTTGTACTTCATTGGCAAATTCTTTTCCGTCCACGATGACAGGCTTTGCGTCTATAACGACGGTGGCCCATCGTGTCCACTGGGTAGTGCTTGGATTCCTCCATGCGTGCAACGTTCCACGCTGCACTACGGTATCACCTGGGTTCTTTAGATGCGTCTCGCTGCCATCATCAAGTAACAAGACCAGCTCGCCATGGACTGGACTCATTTAGTGCGCAGGTCGACATGTCATTCTGTGACAAACTCACTAAGGATATTGAGGTCCACTGAAGTTGTCCTATGCTACGCGTAAGATCAGTGAAGCGTTGCGCTAACGCGAGAAAGGTTTCTATACCATGGGAATGTACAGTCCAGGTCCAATGTCTGTGAAGCGGTGGTTCGTCCCGTTCTCGTGCGCGATACCCAAACCGGGACCTCTGACTTCGCGCTCGGCACCGTCAACCCTGAAATTTGTAGCATGAGCTCCATCCAGATGGGGGATGACCATCGCCATACTTCTCGTTGTTGTCATTCGTTGGGACGCTATCACACACCCACATCGGGGCGGCTAGAGCGCCGTCGAAGCCGGGAACAGCTTGCGGAATGACAGGCGCGTCTTTCCACACAACGCCGACCGACCCTTCTTGCGCGGTCACAATACGTCTGGGACTAGGTAACCCGCTCATGATAGCAGTAGTCTGAGAAGGATCGTGGAGCAGAGAAAGATAGCCGTAGGTCAAGGTGAGAACAGCGTGCACCGACGCTGACGAGCTTCGCAATTGTGATGCGATCTCTACCCGCACACCGAGGGTCCCTTCTCCAGATGGGTCAGGCGGACGCGGGTGCACCGGAGCAGTTGTTACGCGAAGTCGTTAATCGTGAGGCGCATAGGGTCCGCGTACTGCGGCTCCCCGCCCTCCCGGTGCAGTCGGCCCGGCGGCGCGAACATCCTGCGCCAAGTGTGACTGGAACGCAAGACGTAACCAATTGCGAGATGTAGCACTGATGCGGACATAAGGCAACAGGACTCTAGGAAGTTCTCACCAGAGAATTGAGTAGCATGAGAGAGAGAGAGCGATCGACGGGAGACTGGCCATGGAGATCGATGCCAAGACTATAATGCGACGACAAAGAAACGAAAGTCCTGATAAAACCAGTAGACTAAGGGATACGAGGCGGAAAGAAAAGGCGAATAAATCGAGAATGCGCGTTCCAGGCATGTATGTAGAAAGATATCCGATTCGTGGGTGATTGGAAGGGTCATCATCGAAAGCTCAAGGAGCGTGCGGTAGCATAAGTGGTTGGTGGGGTCGAGACTATTGTGCTGTCTACATCGTCGTGCGAACATGGTACAGTGTTATGCGTTCTAATGGTACAGCATCCCAAGCGGCGCAAAATCGAGAACCTATGCCGCACGTGCTGCGGCCTGAGCGGGCGAAAGGCGAAGGATGCGGAACGCGCCGCCATTGCGCTCGCATATATACACGTCATCATCCCTCCTACCGAGAAAGATAACTTCATCGCGTGTGTGTTCGCTCTCGCCATCTGGGATCGTCCCCGAGCCGAACTCGGTGCGTGCGCTTGGGCTCTTTCCAGGGCCGGTGCTCAGCTTCTTGACGGGTGCATGGAGCAGTCTGCTCGGACCCTTGAGCGGGGCGAGGCTGGTCGCGCTACTGGTAGCAGTGCCGACGGGCATCCCGATCTTCCACGTAAATGGCGCTCTGCGGTTGACCTGGCTCGGTGTTGTCGCAAACTGAGGCAGCAAATGGCGGCTCGCATCTGCGGGGCGGAGGAGAGCGTCTTCAAAGTCAACGGCCTCAAATCCGCCTTGACGCAGCGCAACCAGTACGCTATGTGACGAGTCAATATCAAACGCCTCGAGACGCTTGACATCGCCGAGCCGCCCAGATCCAGGCAAGGGCGGCAGAGGAAGAGAGGCATCCTCCAGGCCGGGATCACGCGACCATAGAAAACGACCTTTAAGAACGCTGCGTCCACGCCCATCCACGATGACAGTACTGTGTCCTCCACGAGTGGAATAGAAGAGGGCGGGAGGCCCAAAGATCCTGCTCTGCGTTAGCAACGAGAGAGGCTGCAGCAGAGGTTTGGTGGGATCCAATGCTGGCAGAGGGCCCGATCCAGGAGCACCAGGGACCTCAATGACTCGCGCTGGAGGCGCGCCTCGGAAAGGGTATGTGGGATCGATGCATTGCTGCCTGAGGTCACGAAGCAGCACGTACTCCTCATCCTCCTCCCGGCGTACCGGTAGATCGAGGGGGAGAAGACCTTCACGATACCACGTTTGCATCTGTCCCGCGTTCCAAGGACCTGCTAAGGATCAGCATTTTACCTACTCGCAAAGCGGTGACTATCTCACCATGAATGTTGCCCTTCGGATCCCTGTAGAACCAACTGCTGGGGCCCGATGGTGTTGGGAGAGGCAGTCCAGGTGGCGAGAACGCTGTACTCTCCGAACTAGGCGACTGGCCGTCGCTGCCATCCTCCGGTTCATGTGTGGCGCGGTACTCGATGAAGTCTGGATATGTCGGCGGAATGACATACTCGTCAGCGATCGCGGCGAGCGGGAAGTGCGGGCTGAAAGGCAACTGTTGAAAAGTCGTGTAAGGCCCCATCTGTGCCGCTGCTACTGCGAGCATCTCATCCTGGGCGGCTCCTGCTGTTGGAGCGGCAGTGGTAGCGGCACCTGGCGTGCCAGTCCCAGACGCGGTCGCGTCTGCTGCAACGCCAACAGAGACGGAAACAGTTGTTGTCGTTGTCTCCTCGAGGGGTGCACTGGTCGTGTCGTCCTGTGCGCCACCGTCCTCTCCCGTGGCAGCTCCAGCGTCACGCAACTCGCGAGCGCGCCTGCGTGCAGCGCGACGCTCCGCGCGGCCAATGCGTACCTCACGGACGCGTACGGTGGCCGGTTCGAGTCCAAAGACATTCTGAGCGAAGACAAGGAAGACCTCAACGAGATCGTCACCCTGAAGCTGCAACTCGAGAGACCGCGGCGAGTCCGGGAGAATGAACGTCCGGCTGAGGCCAAGTGCAGTGCGATACGTGCCCGCGAAGAGCTCGACCTTCTCGCCATTGTCACCACAGAGGATCGCGAGGAAGCTGAAGGGGCACCTTTATATCAGCCATGGCTCTTTTCTGACCATCAAAGACACTCACCTCTTCTTATTTGTTTCGACAGCTTTGATGAGCAGGGCGCCCTTGGTCCCAGGCAGCTTCACGTACTCAAGTTTAGGTGCAGGGGCCTGCGTCGCCGTGATTGAGCCCGCCTTGCGTTCACTCTTATGCCTGTCCTCAGCCGTAGCACCATCAACCCCACTATCTTCCGACCTCCTTGAACCATGGAATGCGCCCCCAAGCAAGCGTGACAGGAAGCGAGTAGGGGGCGTCGGTACGGGGGGTACTTCGGAGCCGGAACCCGTTGTACCGCCGGCTGTTGAAGGCCGCAAACTCACAGCAGCCGACACAGACGCCGAGCGCCCGCCACCGGATGTAGTCGAGCGCCCGCCGATAGACGCCGAAGCGGAGCGCCCGCCAGCCGACGATGGACGGCGTGAACTTGAGTGCGCACGTTGTAGCACACCCGTCCTTCGTTCCCGTGGTACACCATTGGTACTGTTTGCTGTGCTGGGTCTTTGCGGCGGTGCAGCTGGGGCGGATGGAGAGGAGGGGAGTGGCGGCGCATCCGCAGCAAGCGGAGACGCCACTTGTTCTGCAGATGCTGACCCGGCCTGCGTCGGGCTGGTGGTAAAGATCCCGTCGAGAACTGACCAACGTCTCCGTCTGCGTGCATTCGCGTTTGTACTCGTTCCCGCGCTACGTTGCGTATCCTGGCTCGCACGCGAGCGCGCTGTATGTATCGATTGCGCGCTCGCCGTGGGGCTTCCCGGTGCACTGCTATCGTCGTCGCCGGACGCGAGGGGGTGCGAATGAGTAAGCATCATTGCCTCTTGCGCGACTCGTGTTCCGGGTGGCGGCAAGTCCGGTATGCGACTCTCCATGAGCATGTCGGCCAAAGTTAGCCGATCGTTGGTAGGCGTACGCGAACCCGGGGCGTCGCCATCGTCATCGCCGTCGCTCGGCTCACCATCTATCGGACGCGCGAGGGGCCCTCGCGCTGGGAGCGGAGATGCCATGAGGGCCTGCTGTAGTGTGAGTAGGGTTGGTGTAGGCGATGGAGGCGCTGGACGGCCCGGAGAGCGTTGCGCCTCATCGAGCTGTAGGTCTGGTGGGCGGCGACGACCTTGAGTGGGCGTCAGAGTTGCGCTGGCCGTAGGTGACAACGATGACGCGCTAGGGCGAGGTGTAGCAAGCACGCTATTGGACATCGTCGGACTTGAAGCTGCCGCCATCGCGCTGGTGCGCTCGTCTAGAGCCTGACTGCCAGACGGTCCAGCAGTCATGACGTTGATAGCCTCCTCCTCGTCGCTGCCCTCGAGCCATTCGGCCTTCTCAGAAGCAGTTCGCGTTAGGTCTTCGCTCGGTCTACTCGATCGTGCGAGCCCTCCAAGCGCGTTCGTGACGGATGACCGACGCGCACCGATAGAGATCGCAGGTGCTGGTGGTTCGAGGCGGGTGGGTGGAGGCGATGGAGAGCGGTACGACGGCGGACGGGATACTATAGTATTAGGTATGGGGGGTATTGAGGGTGGCGCTGCGAGTGCTGGCGGTGTGGCTGGTCGTGATGGTACAAGTGCAGGCGGGGTAGTATGGCTCTTGGACTTTTTGCCAGGCGCACGTGGAGGCGCAATCATAGACGATGCGCGGCGCATTCGGGCATTTGACGGATTTGACGCTGAGGCGGACACCTCTGAGCGTTTGTCGGTGCTCTCGCGGGGCGGGACGCCGCGCTTGAGCTCCTCACGGCGTTGCCTATCCTTCTCACGGCGAATCTCGACGTCTAGGCGCCACTCAACGGCCTTTTTGACTTCGTCCAGTGCGTACACGCGAACGCCATCACGTCGGCCGGCGATGGCCACCAATACGCCTCGGTGCTCCATGACCACGACACTTTTGAAAGGCACACGGCGAATGAGGGCATAAGGCTGGGGTGCGGGCGGAGAAACGAGGGGCAAGACGTCGAGACCCTGGGCATGACACAGCAGCAGGTAGTGAGGAGCGAGAAAAGCGCCCGAGGCTGGTGGGGTGCTGAAGTGCGAGGGCGAGAGGTCGCTGGTGAGGACGGAGAGGGAGAGGCCGAGCTCCTGGAGAGAAGGTGGCGGGAGCGCGGGAGGGGGTGTCGCGGGCCGGGGAGGCGGCGCAGGCGAGGATGAGCGCGAAGGATTCGCCGAGTCCTCGGCTGGGGTCGCCGCGCGTTCGCCTTGGGTGGAGCCGAGAGGCGAGGGTGGTACAGGCCCGATATTCCGATGTATCAAGTTTGTGAAGAATCCAGAGAGGCGATTGGGAGACCTCGTCTGGACTGGGCTCAGCGATGTGGTAAGTAGGACGGGCTAAGAGGCGGCATACCGGTTCCGATGTTGGGTTCGAGCGCGTGTGCAGGTGTCTTCTGCTCGGCGACGGCGGCGGATTATTATTAGTATTATGGTTGTTGTCGGTGTTGTTTGTCCTTCTGGACAGCTGCGTCCGTGCGCTCTCTAGGGAAGCCTGGGAGAACGAGGCTGCCTGGGCGGACTGGGCGGCGGGCGTCCCGGGCCGGTGGGGCTCGACGACGGTGGGCAGAGAGCGCGTGCTCGCTGCCGGCGACGCGCCGCCCGCCTCGGCTGCGACCGACGTCGGGGACGGCCCGCTCATGGCGACCTCCGTGTCGATCATGGGTGGCGGGCCGGGTTTGCGCGTCAGCTTCACCGTCGCGTCCTCGCCGTCGGCAAGCTCGAGCTCCGTCTCGGCACCGTCGGCCATTGGTTGCTCGTCCTCCTCCTCGATATCGTCATGCTCGTGGCCGTGCGACGAAGGCTGATCGCTCGGCCAGCGACTGCTCTCCAGCGCGTTCTCCCCCACGGCCTGTAAGCCGAGCACAGACTCCTGAGACATCTCCGGTCCAACTACGCGCTAGCCGCCTTCCCTAGCGCGCTCTGGTCTACAAAACAGGTGCTCGCGCACAGAAACGATGCCGAGCAGGGAGAGGACGATGGTGGATTGCACGAGAGCTAGCGAGCGCGAACGGTGCCTCGGATCAGCTGTTGATGGCCATGTCGCCCTGTATTTGTTGGCCCGCTCATACCCGCCTTGCCACCAAATCATCATCTCACCGCCTTCGACGTTCCTTTCTGGCTAAGAGTACACAGTCCATCTAGGCTCTCCCTCGGGCTCGTTCGCAACCAAGCGCACGGCTGTGTAAACACTGCCGCTCTCCATTCGTACCCACGCAACGCCAGCTACGTTCGACGATTCGATCACCGTCGGCGTACACAAACCGCCGTGATCACAGGCGCCTCCGGGCAAGACGGCGCACTCGTCCATCCATTGTTCTCGATACGTTGACAGGCAATCTCTCTATTGGCATGTAGCCCTACATACGAACGTTGTCCATAAGGTAGCCTCGTGTCGTTTTCGTATCACCTTGCACGTGTCGACCGCAGTCACTCTTTCCAGTGGCGCCCTTCCACTCGGCACTTGGACTCAGATCCCCTGTTTATCCAGACGGTGTTGTGTCTGACGACATACGTACATACCTTACGGAGAGGACGAAACGCGCAATAACGTTTGGTCGAGCCCTGGGGCAAAGGCGCTCGATGCTCGGCACCGACTTCCGCCAGACTTCCGCCTTCAGCAGCTCCAGGCTTTGTACTCATGACGAAATCAGATCGCTCACTTCCTTAATATCCCATCATCCCGTCATCTCATTCTCTCCATTTCAAAGTTGGGGATGAACTACTGCAACACAGATGGAGGAGTCCGTGCTGCGACAGTCCAGAAACTTGAACAAGAGTGTGTATTGTCAGTGACGAGCTTAAGGTGGTTAACTTGGTTGACCACTTTCACCTGAGGAGCTCTTCAAACGTGAACCGCAGGATCCATGCGCCGATATGCGGAGTAAGGAGCGAGATACTCGATGTACGGTTACCAGATGTCCAGCGACTCGGGCTGTTGGCATCGCTCGCGTCACCAGACTTCTCTCCCAGAAACATGGTGTATCTTCCGGTTACAAAGGATACCATTCACCTATGGACAATACTCCCTACTCATCGTATCAGTTGATGTTTCGTGTTTGCCTCGTATTTTCAATGATGAACTTGAATCGATGGCCATACTCAGAACGAAGTCTATGTCCACGTCGCACCAACTGCTAAGCATCGCGACCTCCCTATCTTTTGGCTCAAGATCGGAAGCGCCCGGAAGCGCCCTACAACACTTGTGGTATCCGGGAACCAGAGTATGACCCGATTGGTGGTGGGGGTGGCATCGCCTGAGTAGTAGACCATTCGTCGTCTTCGGAAGCAGTGCACTACGGCAACCCTCTTTCTCTGAGGAATCCTTTTGGCCGCGCTTTCCCGCACCATACCTTCCAGAGAGCGCAGACTTGACCGAAATGACGAAGGGTGCGCGAGAGCGAGGTAGAAGAAGGTTCGGCAAGTCGCGTCGAGAGCGCGTCCGACAAACCCGTGTCGGCGGCAGCATATACGCGTGACATCATCGGCGGCACCGATAAGATTGTGTGGCCACCCGTCCTTTCGAAGCTTCCCAGTGCGCGCAACGGCCGCGGACGGATTGCGAGATCCAAGCACACCAAGTCATCTTGAACCCCACCCACCACCACCTCACCATGTCTCTCGAGAAGCTCTCCTCTAGTAAGGTGTACGGCGGTGAGCTCGCTAAGTACAAGTTCAAGGTCAGCTTCCCCGCATCGTACCCCGCGCCGCGCGTTCGTGACATATCCCGCGTCGGTCAAGTAGTCTGCGGCTCTTGGCGGCCTCGACGCGAACTTCAACCTTTTTCTGCCCGCGAATGCGTCAAATGGCAAGGTGCCCGTGCTCGTGTACCTTGCGGGCCTCACCTGCACGGAGGATAACGGGTACGCCGCCAGAACACCTGTGGCGCTTCGGTTGATCCCGTTGACACATTTGTGCACAGCGCACAGAAGGGGGGTTTCCTGGGATCGGCCGCGAAGGAGGGCATTGCGCTTCTCTTTCCCGACACCTCTCCTCGTGGTGCTGGTATTGAAGGCGAAGAGAATGACTGGGACTTTGGAACCGGTTCGCTCGCCACAGCTGTGTGGTTTACGCTTCGGTCTGATATGCCATGCCAGGCGCGGGCTTCTACCTAAACGCGACGAACCCCAAATACGCCAAGCACTACAATATGAAGACCCATGTCACCCTCGAGCTCCCGCAGACGCTCGAGGCCGCCGGGCTTCCGATTGTGAGTTCCGCCTATCGCGGCGCACATACACTGTAAACTGACTTCGGCCCTTGTAGGACTTCAAGCGCCAATCCATCTTCGGACATTCAATGGGCGGCCACGGTGCTTTGACCTTGTACCTTGCCTCAGAAACCAAGCAGTATCGCTCGGCCTCCGCTTTTGCCCCGATCTCGAATCCGATAAATGCACCGTGGGGCCACAAAGCGTTCGGCGGATATCTGCAGGGAGGTGTCGAGGAAGCTCGGGGCATCTACGACGCCACGGAGCTGATTAAGAAACACAAAGGTCCGGTACACGTTCTCGTTGACTACGTGAGTAACGGTTTTTCGCATGTGTTCCCTGGTGCTCTTCACCCTTCCTTGGTGGGAGCGCGGTCTGGACCTGAAGCGGACGCCCGTGATACTGACGCACTTGGCCGCCGCGACCTTTCACAGGGTACGGGAGATAATTTTTACAAGAACGGTCAGCTTCTCCCGGAGAACTTCCTCAAGGCTGCGCGGGAAGCCAGTTTCGACGAGTTCCAGGTCCGCGTGCGTGAACAGGAGGGATACGACCACAGTTACTACTTTGTGCGTCATATTGTGATCGTTGGTGACTGACCAATAGTACTCACGCCCAACGTACGATCTAGATTTCTACGTTTGGGGAGGACCACATCCACTGTACGTTTGCTCGTGTTCTTCTCGTTCGGATGAAGAACTGATTACCAACCTCACAGTCCACGCCAACTTCCTCCGAGCATGATTTCGTGGCAGAAATCTGAGTAGAGACGGGAAAAGACAGATATGTGAAGCGGACAAACGCAAAACGATGTATGTATTTGTACAGAAGGGCAGATAGCACGACAGCGGCGAATACACGTTGTACAGAGGCATCATACGTGTAACAGGCGTTGAGGCGAACAAGATAGCAGGATCGACAAGATGAGACATGCGGGAGCGAGATAACATGGCCGAGGGGCCGAGGACGGGAGCTAGATGGAAGGACCACGGCGAAGTCCGAGGCAATCAGAGCAAGTCGGGGAACTCAAAGCAGAGCGGGATTCCAAAACGGTAGAAACAGAAGTGGCCGTGCCTCGTGTGTCAAGTCACCGCGCGGACATAATCATTCGAGCACGCGCTGCTCGTACATCTGGCGGATCTCGAGTATGTTGTCGAGAAACCAGCGTGCGTTGAGCGCCTGCGAGACCGTCGCGCGGCGCTGCCAGTCGTGCTTTGTCAGTGCCTTGACCAGGGCACGAGCTACACGACCCAACGCCGATTTAGAGTTGCGCGGGGGAGACAGAGGTAGACAGGACGTACCGTCAGGGACCTCATCCCATATGTATGATTCAGTGTAATCAATCGACTTATGAAGGATCCGCTGCTTCGTGCGATCGTCTACGCGCGTGTAGCTGTCGGTGCGCTGAGACAGTTGACTCCCGTCGTAGTCGTAACAATCGTCCTCATCGCCGTTAGAACGTTGCGGGCGTACTGTAGCCGACTTAGACAGGCTGACCGCTGCGTCATAAGGGTGATGACCGGTGAGCATGATGAAGAGCACAAGACCTCTGTGAATAAGCAGTTCTTAGATTCAGAGTTTGGCAATGCGAGAGATGATCACGACGCACGCGCTCCAGCAGTCCGCAGGCTTGCCGATATACTTGCAATTAGGCTTATCAAGCGCTAGAATTCCTTCGGGTGGGAGGTAGCAGACAGTTCCGCAGGCATTGAAGGTGCTCTGGAAGGCTCTGACGCGTGCGAGACCAAAGTCGGCAAGTTGAATGCGAGGGAAATGACCCGGCGAGTACAGGAGCACGTTCTCCGGCTACAAAGTGATCAACACAACATGAGATGTAACAAGAGAGCCTCTCGCCTTGATATCTAGAAGTCACTGACTGTCAGCGGGTGGTTCATCAAGGGGATGGCTAACTACACGTACCGCGATGGCAGATCTCACGCTCGTGAAGATAGTCAAGAGCCTGGAGTATCTGATACATGATGAAGCGCGCTTCAGATGGGTGCATATGCCTATGAGTATCCGTGTGATATACGATGAAAGTGAATAAGTCGCCGCCAGTGCATAGTTGCAAGTAGATCTTCCTGCCAAGCGGTTCAGTTCTAGTCTTTGCCGGAAAATGGAGAAGTGTACAAGAAGGGTGTGTCTTCACTCGGGTTCTCTATGTCCACGATTGAGTTGATGTTCGGCTAACGATCTGATGTCAATCGTTGTGATCGGTCATGAGGCACAAATCGGACGTACATGCTGAAGCTTCCTCAGGATATTGACTTCCTTCATCAGCGCGCCGAGATCGTTCCTGTTCTCGCGTGTTTTGATGACTTTGCAAGCAAGCTGACGACGCTGGTTGGTGTCCATGGCAAGATGGACGGTCGCGAAGGCACCGCTTCCAAGCGTATGAGAAAGAACAAGGTAGTTTCCGAAACTCTTGAGAAGCAGGAGATCATCAGCCAAATTCAGTAGTAGAAATAAATTTAGATTGTTGACCCTTGACTGTGGGCGTGAAGGCGGAGTCGGCTCAAAAAGACTGCGTTTCTCTTGGTAGTTCTTCTTCGCATGGTGGCACTCAAAGACTAAAAGTCGTCAGAGGATTTCTACGGCGCAGCGACTCTCTAAACCCTACCTTTACCGGAGGGAAACTGGATTATGTCTCCATCCATGAGAATCACAGAGGCTCTATTGATGTGATGCCCGTTCAACCAAAGGCCATTCGTCGAAACATCTTTGCATGATACGATAACACCCCCCGTCCCCGAGGCGACGCTGGCAGATATTCAGCACAGTTATATGCGCAGGAGTCCGCACGCACGCGTATAACTTGCAGTGTAAGGCAGATATGAGAATATGAGGAATGACAAATGAGCTGTATTGGGACTTTAGTAGTTACACTTCTGATATCAACTCAAAACGACGCGCCATTCGGACGGCGTACGGCCGATGGTTACCTGCTTATTCATTTCGATATTTATCACTAGATGCAGGTAGATTAATTGAGATGTAGAAGAAGAGAAAGACGCGGCGGGATACCTTCTCGTACATTATCCACCTTTTGCTGGGCGACGAGCCTCGCGCAGAGAATGCCAGTCATAGCTGAGAACATCATATGTAAGCGCGGGCAGTCATCAGCGTGCAGAGCACAGACCTTGGAGAGAAGGTGAGATGAGGGGAGCAGGCGCGAGCTGGGTGCCGGGGTGTTGGTGGTGAGAGAGGAAAAGGCGTGACGCGCTAACGCGCTCAATCGACGCGACGGGTCGCGTCGCGGGACACGCTCACGTGCTCGCGCAAAGGCCCAAATGAGATCTTAAAATGAAACAAGAAAATGCTAGCGCTACATGTGCACGATCGAAGGCAAAATACAGTGTGGAATAGACGGAAGAGCATTCATTCTGAGTTCTCAATCGTAGCCTTTCCCGCTCCTCTGCTTTACACGCTTTCCTTTCTTGTGGTGCTTTTTCCCAGGGTGCGCGTCCGTTGCATTCGCCATGACAGACGCGACACGCGCTCGCCTTCCTGTAAGAGATGTGCCATCATCCGCGACAGCATTCTGGTGAGGGTAAATGCGAGCGCGCGTGAATTGGCTTCCTCCCTTGACGAAAGGACGAGCCGAAAGACCGGTACCATCCTCGAAAAACTTCTCGTCGACAGCCTTCGAGCGATGGCCTTGTACAGGTGCGCCGTCCGAGGAGGTGATTTCTGCAGGCACATAGGTATCTGCGTTCTTGCGAACATGAGTAGTGGGGGCGCGCTTCTTGTCCGCGTACTTTTCTAGAGCATGGGTGTGGGTCTCCTGGTTGAAAGCGTCCGGGTCGGTGTCCGGTGGAGGATGACAGTAAAGGAGTTTGGCGTTCACGTAGTCCTTAAGAATATACCGAGCGGCACGGGCTTCGTCAGGGTTACCCATGCCGGACCGAGAGAATCCTCGCGCGACTGAGAACGTGTCACATTGAGGGTTACGTTTTCAAGCGCGACAGGACATACCAGCGTATGCGATGAGAAAGTCTTCCGCGGTGATACGCCCGTCGCCTCCCTCTTCGACACCTTTAGCGCGAATGGAAAGACCGTATGTCAGCTCCAGAACGTCCCGTGGGACGCGTTTGACCACCAGGGCGGTGGGCCCAGTATGTTCGCGCAATTGATCGATCGGCAAGACGCCGTCGCAAACGAGATCCGCTCGGGTAGTTGCGAACTGAGGGAAGACAAGGCCTGGGCAATCGCAAAGTACGATATGTTCAGATAGATGTATGGTCTGGAAGTGCTTTGTCTTTCCGGGTGTGGATGAGACGGAGACTTTCTTCTCCCCGAGTAGAGAGTTGATGGTGCTGGATTTGCCGACGTTTGGGTATCCCACGAGGCCAACGACGAGACGGGTAGGGTGATGGCCACTAGAATCCGTGAATTCTGCGTATTGCTCAGGAACCTGGGACCCTCGAACGAAAAAGAACACGTACGCGAGAGATCAGGGGCTGATCTGATGAAGAGATCCTCCAACTCAAGCACGGTAAGCACTTTGATGCGCGGATCCGCAATCTCAAGAGGGTCGACCTCGGGTAATTGCACAGATTCTCCACTGTCGCTCGACGCATAGTCGTCCACATCTTCCTCCGAGCCCTGGGAAGTACTAGGGGCATCGGCAGCATCAAGTACATCCGCTACATCCATGTCATCATCCTCAATGTCGGACTCCAGATCCTGTTCAGCGACATCGTCAATCTCTTCTTGTGCGCGCGCGGCTTCGATAGCTTCCCTGCGTGCCTCTTGTAAGGCGGTCGCATTTGCTGCAGAGAAAAACGCGTAGGCAACGCCTTGAGCGTCAAAGTAATTCGCCCATTGCTGACTGCGATGGGAATGAGTGAAGGACTATGGTGCAAAAGGAAATCACGCACCGTTGTTTCGCAGTCAGTAAGTCAGACTTATTGATCAATAGCAGACTCCTCCGCAAGCCCTTTCCGGTACCCTTCTCCCCTTCAGCACCCTCGACATCCTGAATATAAGCCTCCAGATCCTCACAGCGGAAGCGTAACGGATTGCGTGCGTCAACGATCTGGACGATGAGGTGGGAGCGCTCCAGTACGCGCCACAACTGCCGCCAGACTTCTATATTGCGCTCGAATGGCGTCAACAAGAAGCTGTCCTTTTCCTGCAATCTACACGGCTCAGCGGACAGTACACATATATCATGAGGGGAATTCACACACTCGGCGATCCCCCGTCTCCACTCTAGGAAGGCGTCCTTCTCCTGCCTCTCGAGTTGCGCAGTAGTCATAGATTTTGTCCAAGGAGGGCGCCTCGGGACGCGCAGCCGCTGCTTGTTCTCGCTCTGCTTCTGGAGCGTATCCCGCTCATCCTGTTCAGATAGCAGATAGGGGTTATGGGCGACGGTGGGACCAGACTGGATGATCTTGACATTGCGGCGCTCTGAGACGAGAGTGTAAGTGCCATTCAAGGATAAGATTATGGTGCGCACCGGCTGTAAAGTCCGTCCCCGCCAACTGGGCCGTATTCAAGAACTCCTCTAAATCGCGTTCTTGGGTAACCGACGCGAGGCGCGAAGACTCGAAGTCGGTGGTGTACTACGCAAATGAGATCAAATATTGTGCGTGATAAATAAAGCAAAGCACCATTCCGGACTCCAGATGACTACGCGCATCCTTTGCCCTGCGATTCATGATCGCACGACCAAGGCCGCTCGGATTGGGGTTCTTGCCCTTGGGAGGAGCCTGTTATGTGGTTTCAGCAATGTGGAAAGAAATCAGGTTGTCCATAGCCTACCATATGTCGAACTCTGTGTACGGGGGCACCGGGTATGAAGAAGAGTGTCAAGGGTAAGTTGCTTCGCGCTCCGTTTTCTTTCGCGCGCGGCTGATTGATCGCGGCTCCAAAGATGACCGCGCACGAACTAGCTGATCAGTGGACTACGCTTCGCACGCAAGCTTATCAAGTTTTTCGTTCTCTCGAGCTGGAATTGGTAGAGCCTAGGTCAAGCCTACCATTTGCAAAATTGGAAGTATGGCGACATGATTATGTAAGAGGCCAAACGCGGTACCGTGACTTATCTTGATCTCGCATGTCCGGTACCTTCACACTAGAACATAGACAGATCCGCGCTCTTGGCCTAATGACTACAATGGCTGACATTCTCGTCTGACCCTGAGATATATATACGTTACACATGTCTGAACATATAGTGCTTTCGCTCGCCACCAAGATCAAACATGTCTACAATTGCAGAGATCAGGGGAAGTAAGGCTTGACTGCGAAATTTCATCAGCCCTGGCGCTCCAAGGTGTTAGTAGACAGCACTTACTGGCCTGGGTAACCAGAGGCTGGTCACTCCCATCACCGTTTGGCGAAATGTCAAGAACGTAAGTGTTGTCAAACGAACCAGCACCCCACACCGCGAAACCAAGAAGGGTCGGGAACGCGCTCTTGACATACGCAAGCTCTTGTCCGAGGCTACAAAGTATACTGTCAATGTGTTGGGTATCAATAATTTCGAGGAAACGCACTCTGTCTCGCAGGAAGCGGTGTTTCCTCCGCCTGTCTCAGAGAGAATCGCCTGGCGGTTGCCATTCGCCTGCAAGAAGTTCACAAGCGTGGTCAAGACATCGACATTGTTCTGAGTAATCTGATGAGGGGACCCCGCGACACAGAGAGAAAGCTCAGCTTACTGTCACACAGTCGGCGTGTGTTCCTGAGTTGTCCTGTGTGCGTCAGTCAAATCATGGTTTTGCGGTTATACACAAAGACTTACCGAGTCCAAGTACTTGTGAACATCGAAGATGAGCTTATCGGTGTTGCCGAGCGGATCCGTCACCTTCACGAGGCCGGGTCCAGCCTCAGTAGGGAAGGTCTGAGCGCTCGCCCAGCTTGAACCAGGGAGTAGAAGGAAGTTATCGGCGCCGGCTGCGCGAATGGCGTTTACGACGCTCTGCACCGAGGACACCCAGCTGTTGACATCAACATCGTGCGGCTCGTTCATGATCCCGAACTAATGGGTTATAAAATGAGTACAGTATAGAGAGGCTATATGAAGAATCACATACGATGATTCTCGAGTTGCCAGCGTACTTCTTGGCGAGTTGCGTCCAGAGGCTATTGAACTGGTCGTTGGTTGGGCCGCCCTGTCCAATGATCCCACCATTGAAGCGAGCATAATTGTGCTGGAGAGTCAACTGTTAGGTTGTGCGAGGCGTTTCAGGCACTACAATACACCCACCACGTCCACGATCACGTAAACACCGCTTCCGGAGGACAATGCAGACTGAACAGTGGAGTCGTACTCGGAGAAGAACGTCTCGTTGATGTTACCGCCCGGGGTCCCAGTCATCTCCGTCCAAGCTATGGGAGACGTAAATGACGTCGCAGATATGCTGATGTACATTCTCACATACCGAAGGGAATACGGAAGAGGTTTGCGCCCTCCGAAGCGAAGTGGGTGAATTGGCTGGTAGGCGGGGGCGCAACACTCCAAGTGAAAGACCCATCAGTCGCGGCAGAAAAGTCGTACCCTATAGTGAATGAGTGCGCACGCCCATTCACGTCGGTCTGGTCTCACCGGCAGTGTTGACACCCCCAAAGCGCGGAAGGCCCGAGAGATTGGTCCCAGTAGAGGTTGGCGCAGTACCTGTTGCGGTCCCCGACGCTGCGGCGCTTGTCGTCGGCGTTGCAGTCCCCGGCAAGCATTGCGAGTAATCTTGAGCGCGCGTGAGTAGTCCAGTAAGAATGTCATCATCAGAAGAATCAGCTTACAGTCGTTCAACGCCGTGCAGACACTTCCCGAGACACAAGTCGTCGATCCAGCTGGATGAGTGTTAGCTATTCCCCTGAAGAAAGAATGATCAGACTCAAGTACGCACACCAGCCGATACCTCCGCCTGACGTCCATCAGCATGATGAAGAAGCTATAAAGGTACTACATACACTGTCCGTAAAGCTACGACCTCCTTAGCATGTAGGTCTCACGGAGAACTGAGCACACTTACACCAGACTGGGCAGACGCAAAGCGGACAGCCGCAAGTACCGTGAAAATGCCAATGGACTTCATGAGGAGAGTTGATATTGATGCAGCTGCAGCACCCCCCCGATATATAAGAGAGAGAGAGACCGCGGTCTATTCTCCCGACCGGACTATCTTCGATGACGACCGGCACAAATGCGACGTACATGGTTGTCCGTGGATTATCCGAGTCGAGGACAATCATAGACTGCAAGCATAGATGACGTTATTTTGGGAGCTTTGAATGGCTCGCAAAAGCCGTCCACTCCCGGGGCTAACAGAATCCGTTACAAGGGCCCTTGACTCCAGCAGCCCAAGGCGAAGTCCGAAATGGCTTTGACGGCCGAGCTCTCGTCGAAAGATCAGTCCCACGATTTTCAAAGGGTCCGCGCTTCGCAGTGTTTTCATGCGGTCTTCTGACCACACCCTCACTCCCGCATACCGAAGTTCAGCGCGCTCTGCTAGTCGCTAGTCGCCTGACGCTCCACGTTCAGCGACAACATCGTGACCAAGTCGGACCTTCCACGGATGGCCTGCGTATAGACGTCATCCTACGCCGTTGAGAACTTGTATCATTTATCTGGAAGTGAGCACGAAGGGTGATGCAATCACTTTGTCGTGAATGATGATGAAGGCAGGATGCGAAGGGCGTGCAGTGCCCACAGCGGCGTGCTGGAACAACTGCATGTGGGAAACCGGCGGGAATTGCCGTGGCCGTCATATGGCGCTGGTAGTTGGCTGGCAGTTTCGAGTTCGGACGGCCAGCTACTGTGTGCTTCTGTTCATTTTGCTACAGTCGGACAAGGGTCGGGTCCGAGCCCACTCACCCAACGGTAGTTGGCTCGTTGTCGAGTCTCTTTCGCCATGTCTGTACAAGTCTCTCGAGAGGCTGTCTTCTCACTCTACCGCTCTTTATTACGTCAGACCTCCCGCCTTCCTCACTACTACTTGAAGTGAGTGGAACCGCCTCGCTGCATGCAAAGCGTATGTATGAAGGCATATCTAGACAGTTCTGGTTTTTGCGTGGGCAAGATGCGACGAGGCGTTTACTCGCTACAGAGGACAGCGTTCTAAGGAGGACCAAATACAAACGCGTGCAGAAGGTAATGCCGCAGATGATATTACTTCTATCGGTATTCTGACTGAGACACAAGGACATGGCAAGACTCAAGAAAGCGAACACAGGAGACAAAGAATGCTTCTCATACATCTTGGAGATGGCTTACGGTCGGAAGGGCCCTTTGAAGCACGCCATCATGAAGGTTCTGCCGATACATGATCCTATCAGTCGCACACTGAGCGCACACACAGCCTTTGTTGTCGGACCCTTCGCAACCCAAGCCACCCCGTATCATAGCAGCGGCGCCGAAATCTCATCCACCTGTTTACTCTCCGGAGCTTGCGGCTTTGTCCATCAGTGGGTCTGCACGGAGAGTAGGGAAACCGCTGAAACCCGATCAACTCGCCAACCCTCCCAAGATGCCTGCCCGTGCCGACCCTTCTTCCTCTGAGCACAAGCTATACGGACCTCTCAGCAAACGGCGACAGTCGAACATCAGATGGCGCTTCTTTACAGATAACTGGCAGAAACTGCACGCGCCCCTCGAGTTGACGGTCGACCCAACACCCTCTTCTTCGAAAGGGAAGGAGGTCATGCGTGGGGTACCACGATGTATTGGGATATACGGGCAAGGAGTCCTCGAAGACGTCAAATCCGTAGCGAATGCATCACATGGAATGCGAACGCCCATACCCCGTAGACAACGGCGAAGTCTAAGAGCCGACGAGGACGCGGGGTGGCGCCATGAGACGCCGGCCGGCATTGCGCCTAGTCGTTTTCTCCGTCGCCGTTATGCCGAGCTTCTCGGCAAGATACCTATCTTGACTTATACCAAGACCGGAAAATACGTCGTATCCTTGGACGGCGCTGCCATGCACCAGGAGCGCGACTATCTACTGGCCGACATCGATGAATCAGAGCGAGGGTGGCTACCCGAAGGCTTCTGTGAGGTAGAGAAGAAGCCGAAGAAGGCTGATAAACGATAGCAGGAGAGTGAAAGATACGGTACATAGTATATATCCGGGGTACATTCCATAGTCCGTTGAATGTTATAGTCCTTCACCTTTGTCCTCCAGCTCCATCCCGTGCAATTCGATAACGTACATGCTGTAGTTGCGGTCCATCGCCTGCGACGCAGACTTCTCCCCGAGTGTAGGGTCGACGCCGCATTGCAGATCAAGCATGACCTTATACTCGTCGAAGCTAAACACCTGCTTCTGGCGGACCTTGTCGAGCATATCCTGGAAACGGTGAGTTAGGGACATTCATGAGCGAGAGTAACGAGCAACGCACAGCGGGGTTCAGCGTAAAGAGCGCCCAATACTGCTTCGCGCGCTCAAACTCCGTGTCACGTGGGTCGTTCACAATCGTCTTGATACATTGCTGAAGCGCCAGCATATTGCGGAATATTTTCTTGACACCGTTCGCATTGACCTTACGGATATTACGGGCGGTCGACACCAAAAGCTCATCCATGAGTAACCCAACACCATCGAAGATGAAGCTGTCAAGAGGTCAAAAACGCCACGCGAGGATGCATGCCTCGCACGTACTGTTGTTCAGTCCCTGGAACTGTGCTAGCAACAATGTCATCCAGCTCGGCTAGTTCTAGGTTGAGATCGATGATATGTGGATCGGGCTCGCCGACCTCGCGGTCAGGACAGTAATTACCCTATCGCATAATCAGGGGAGGAGTGGCCCAGATGAGACGGTGCACATACATGACGAAAGGCCAGATCGAGATAGTAGATGATGCGCGCCCGTACGTCCATTCGCATAGCGTAGACAATAAACTCTGCAAGTTGTTCGTATGTCTTCAGCAGCGCGTGAAAACGCCTGTAGAGAGCTTTGTGAGCGGATTAGGCGGCGTCTGGGATGGCATAGGAACTTACATGGCCATCTCGCGTGACAATGGCAATTGGATGTCGGATGTCGAAGTACGCGTAGTAGAAGGAGGAACAGGGAAAAAGGGCGTGGTCGCGGTGATAGCTGTCATCGGTGAACCTGGATTGGCTTCGTCCGGCATCGCGTCCGTCTTCAGTCGGCTGAGCGCGGAGGCGAACCAGGTCTATTTGATGATAACGTCAGGTACATTCATATTGACGACACCGTCAAGACTCACGACACTGCGGTACAAATGACCAAGTGACGCGAAGTTTCTAGAGGGATGTACGAGATCGTCTTTCTCTACAACACCGTCAGCGAGCAGTGTCGTCTCGACATCTCGCTCTTGGCGGCAGAGCTCGCGCCGTTTCACATCTGCTTGAGGCTGCACATAATCAGGATCCAGATCTTTTGATGTATCAGGATGATTGAAAGTGTACGTACCGGGCAATCGAGCAGTTGCGACAAGCAAGTGATCATCTCCGGATTCTGGGCCCATTGCGCTGCGAGAGCGACTCTTGCATCCGGCCCCAGCAGCTGTGACTCTCCAGTCGCCACCAAGGACTGGAAACGATCACTACATCGCTGGTAGAATTGGATTATGACGGTAAGTATGAAACGAGCGTAGTTATCCCGATGGAAGGGCGAGGTCATGAGCATTGTGCAGAGCGAGTTGATGAGTGCCATAAGCTGTGTGCTAGCCTGTCTCACATGTAAGCATGATTCAGATACTAGTGCTCAAAGGGGCGTACGTGAACGAGGGGCTTTGTGGAAAGCCAGGAGGAAGCAGGGTCTGGTTGGAAGGCCTCCGGTCCTAGAGATCAACCCGTGAGAAATCATCAATTGATGGGAGAATGAAAGCGCCTTACCGCTGACAGCGCCATGGAACAGTGCTGAAACCTTCTCCTCCAACTGAGGAAGGTACACGTCTAATACGAACTCCTCCATCACAGCTCTGGACGCCCGTGCCGACTCGAATCCAGACGGTAAGATTGAGGACACACGGTCAAGGAAAGCCAACATGGGCTGGAACAGCACGCTGACGTGGAAAGCGTCCGGTCTGATGAGAAGGCGGTGATGTTGCTCAATCCCGAGTAGACGCTCGTCCGTACCGACCGAAGAAAGGGTTGCTTGCACCGAGGTTTCTGTCGAGCCTTGCACGAGACCTGGCACGGTATCGCGGAGCACTCGGGTGAGCTCATCTTCGTGAGGACGTAAACTCTTATTGGAGAGCTTGACATCTGTATCGGCGAATCGGAAGACGTGCTGCGCGCGTTGTCTTCGTCAGAACCACTGTGACAGACGCTGTTCCCGAATGCGGACATACCTTGGATTTGTCTCGGTTGAAGCGGCCGTCTCGGAGAACGTCGTTGATAGAGGCAATGGGATTGCGGCCGGACATACGTCCTTGCTCCTCATCAGTCACATAGTCATAGAGTAGTGTCCGGACCTGGCATACTCATTAGGAACCAGCTCTAGCCCATACCACATAGAACAACCGTACCTCGGCTTGGATTGGTATCCACAACTCCGAGAGAGGAAATAGGGATCCGGGTTTTGCACCGGACGTGTCGTGAAAGTCGCGCCGGGACCCAATGCGATTAGCGACCTCAGATACTACGCGAAGGCCTTGTAACACGGCGTCCAGCTTGGAGTACACCGTCCAAAAGAGATCTCGCAAGATCTCATGATCCACCTGCTTCGACGAGGACTCCAGAGCGGTGAGTCGCAACCGAGACGTTGCGAATCCCTGCCCCTTTGCTCGCCCCAAACCGCCGCCAGGCAACTCAGAGCTGGTGCCAATCCCTGTCTGTGAGGCGAAGACGTAGGTAGTGTGCGGCTGAGTGACAGCCCCAGATATGGAACTGCTGAGGTTGGTCGATGCTCTACGGCCATACTCCAAACGTTCGCCGACTTCGTCAACTGTTGCCTCGATAAGCGAAAACACCTCGTTCGGCAATCGCTGTGCGACTACGTCAAGACCACTGCCTAGCTTCCCGAGAACCGCGAGTGACTCCAGTAATGTCTCGATATAGGCGAATGAGTCGGTTTCGGGATTGACGTCTGGCGCCTCACCAGTATCAAGAGCGGCGGTTTGTAAGGACGCTGAGGTCGTGCTCGCATTCAAGTTCACAATGGACGAGCTGGCTGAGAGACCGCCAGATACAGCGAGGGACTCGGCCTCGTTGAGACCATGTGGGGGGTCGTTTGGCCTCAAGGTGAGGTCGTGGATGTAGCGTGTCAGACGGGACGATTTGGACGGCTCTGCCTGTGTAGGCGTAGTCGGTGTTGGTGGTCGTTGAAAGTCGGCTGGGAGTGGCAATTCTTCGAATTCTACTGGAGGGACTGTATCCCCAGTCAGCGAGGGAAGCGCATTACGGTAAAAGCACGCACGAGACTGTTGATTAGGGGTATAAGGAGCCCAACGGTTCTCACACCAGAAGGACTTGAGGTATAGATGACTGTGGAGTTCGTCAAGGAGAATATCTCGCAAAGCCTACGCGATACCGCTGCGTCAGGTTCATGTTCAGCAACGATCGTGACACTGCGTACCGACTCTTGCCCGACAAGATAACTGCGTAGGTCAGCAACGGCACCAATCTCGAGCATATCCTGCTTGTTGATGGTCTTCAAGCTCCTGACGAGGAGTATGGAGGCTTGCAGCAGCCGTTTTTCGGACATCAGACTCTCAAGCACGTCTGGAACCAGCTTGAGGCGCTCGCTGATTGGAATGAGCGAATGCGCTGCGCACTCATATGGAGACGCACATTTGGTCCAGAATACGCAGCATTTCCTCCAATGTCTGATTTCGAGTCCATAGCTGTACTAGATCGGAGCGCTTGTTGCCGAGCGCGTCCTTCGTTTCTTGTAACGCGGTTCGGGCATCCTTGATATGGCCCTGCGTCGTAGTCAAGTGTGAGACGAGTGATGCGTGATGGGGAAGCGCAGCCGCGAATGCTTGGTAGTGCTCTGCAACGGATGTGAGACATATCTCATGTAGTCGCGTAAGAACCACGTACTGTCGACCGAGCCCTGGAGAGCGCGCGAAAGCATCTTCTTCGTTTGTCGAAATGAGGCCATGCCCTGCCCGGAAGATGCATCGTCGAGTAGTTGTAGGGCGAGTTCGACGGGGTTGAACTGACACAACCGTTGTTCAACAGAGTACGCGAGTGTAGCAAGTAAAGCAAGCTCACGTCCGGATCGGTGACATAAGCCCACTCGTCCTTGATTTCGTCCAAGATGGCTGGAGAGTGACTTGAGGTGATGTTCGCCACAGGTGGTGTGAGACATGAGACATACCATCGATGTCCCCGGCCTTTGCGCGACCATTCGTCCTGCGTCCTGGAACCTTATCCCTTATCCTCTTCTGTCGCCTCTGCTCGGCCTCGAGCTCTTCCTGCCGCATCCTCTCCCACTCTTCATCGTCCAGCGTCTTCTTCCGGCTCGCACCTGCGAATGCGGAGAGCACGTTTCCAAGAGAAGCAGGCGATTCTCCGTCGCCATCAGAGGACACGGTGCCGACGGTGCCAGAGCGGTTCGGCCTGTTCCGAGGAGGCCGGGCGGCAGCTGTGGGCCCGCCGTTGCGGTGAGCGGGGTAGGGCATGGAGGCATCTGAGCGGGTGGTGCTGACGCTGTCCTGTCTCTCGCGCTCTCTCGGAGGACGAGAGTAAGAGGGTGAATCGGAGGCAGGATAATCGAGGGGTGGCCTGGGCGCGCGATAGGCCGATCTGTCTGGGCGGGAGGGCGCGTTGGAGGGCGAGCCGTGCAGCGGTTGCGGGACCGAGCCATTTGATGTGGGCGTGGTCGGGCGGGTCGGCCTGCTGATCACGAGGGGCCGTGTACCGGATTGGCTGGGTCTGCGGGAGCCCGAGGAGGATGGGTAGGCCTGCCGGGACATGGGCGCTCGGCTCTACTCTCCCTCTTCGACGCCGCAACACACTCGGCTGCTCCGGCCCGCTCTCCCGACCCGCGCGTCAAGTCTCTCGCTCTTGGCCGCACACCCCCACTACCGTACGGCCACCTCCGCGTGCGCCGAGTGAAACGCGTCTTCTCGCGCCTCGACACCTTCCCCAACATGTCTGCACCGGATGAATGGCCCAGCGAGGACGAAGACGACCCGAACGGCCCGAAGGAGGTCGTCGGCGAATACGACGACGGCTACATCGTCTACTACTACTGCAAACACGTCGACGGCATCGCCCACAAGGCATGTTCTTTCGTCAACCCGCAATTGACGCGTCCTAACGCGTCTTTTATCTAGTACTCTCGGCTGGAGATCGAGCAGCGCCATCCGAAGCTCGCCCAAGAGTTTAGTCAGTCATCTCGTCGTATTGGCAATGCTCCGCGACTGAGAACCATGCACAGGAATAAAGAAAAATCGCGGAAAGCTGGCACCCTTCGACCCGTCCGCGGCCTATGTCCACCCGGACGACCGCGTCAAGGTGAAGCTGAAGATTTCCCAAAAGGCGCGCTCGTCGGCTGCGGCCGGCTCGAGCAAAGACGAGCCGATGCAGGTCGACTCTGAGGAGGATGAGGATGAGGAGGCAGACGAGGTCGAGGGCGAGGAGTGGGACGAGGACGTGCCGGAGGAGGGCGACGAGGACGAAGAGGACGAGGTGGAGAGCGACGCGTACGGCTCCCCGCCCAAGCGCAAGGCCGCCGCAGCCAGTACCCGCAAGTCCACCCGCAACTCCGAGAAACAGGCGCCCACGAGAGGCTCCACGCGCCGGACGGCCCGGAAGCGGTACGACGAAGACGACGAGGAGGAGGATGGCGATGAGTACGAGGCCGCCCCGGCCACGCGGAGGTCCACCCGCTCTCGCAAGACCGCTCGGAACAATCTCGACGACGCGTATGAGGACGACGACTTTGACGACGACGACGGAGACTACCGCGCGAAGCCCAAGGCCAAGGGCGCCGCCGCGAAGAAGGCCAAGGTCGTGCTCAAGCGCAAGGGTGTACGACCGGCTTACGGCCGTGTGCGACCCGTCGCCGACCTCGACTATGACCCCGGCGAGGATCAGTCGACAGCCGCTCTCCGCGCCCACAGAGATCTCTGCGAGAAGTGTGCGCGTCCACCGACACATCTCATGCTGCAGAAGGAGAAGCGGAAGCCGGGGCGTAAGAAGAAGAATCAGTCGGACGACGACGAGGAGTTCGTTCAGCAAACAGGAGAACTTGGCGGCTGGGTTCGCTGCATGAAATGTCCTTTATCCGCGCATTGGGCCTGCCTGGCATCCACTCAACGCCAAGAGATTTTGAAGGCTATCCGCGACCGGGAGAAACAGGAGTGGGAGGCCGCTCGCGCAAAGGCTACAGAAGACGGCGATGAACCCATGGATAGTGACCCTCCGAAGCGGAAGGAGCTTGACGTCGACTCAACCACCGAGTTCATCTGCTCGATGTGTATGAAGGGTGATGTCTGCATGGGATGCGAGAAAGTTGCTATCAAGGCGGACCAGCATGGAAATGGCGACAAGTCTTCCACGCCTGCCGACGGAGAGGCTGAGGCTGGCGATGCGAACGAAAGCGGAGAGAACGCGGATGACCTGTCGGCGCAAGAGCTTTTGTTCCGTTGCAGGACGTGCAAGCGAGTATCGCACTATGTAAATCTGTTCTCTCTCACGAACCCTTCCTAACTAGAGTGCTGACATTGAACGTGTAGGCGTGCATGCCGATTCCTGATGGGTGGGATAGCGAGCCGGCAAAGTACAAGGGTGATCGCGCCGAACTCGCAGATCACTATCAGAAACTGGACGGCGACTATAAATGGAACTGCGACGATTGCGCTTCATACAAGGACAAAGTCGAGAAGATCCTGGCATGGAAGCCGTATCCAGACAACGCGCCTCAGCCATTCTATCCTCCCGGTCAAGCCCCAGCGCCGAAGACTATGCTTCCTCGCAAGTACCTCATCAAGTGGCAGGATCGTAGCTACCGGCGCGTCACCTGGGTACCCCACGGCTGGCTTGCGACGACCCACAGTGGTCTGCTTCGCAGCTTCCTTGTTGCAGGGCCTCGCATTGAGTTGTTGAAGGTCCCGGTAACCCCAGATCACGAAGCCAACGATGTCGCCGAGGGAGGCGTAGGCGATGGCTCGCGTGATTCCTCAGCTCGCCCGGAGGACGAGCATCGTCATCGCAATCCTTATGATGCGTGCCCCGATGCTGAGCGCCGCATCCCTCCTGCCTGGAAGACCATAGACCGTGTGCTTGACGTCCGCTTCTTCCTCACGCCGGAGAAGGGCAAGTCCAAGGGCAAAGGCAAGAAGAGCTCGAAGCGCGTCGAAAGCTCAGACGAGGAGGAGCCGCTGGATGAAGACGCGCAGTTAGACTGGGACAGGGCGTTCGAGTGGGGCGATAAGCCTGACGACTCTTATCTCGAGGGCATCGAGGAGAGAGTGGACAGGACGGACGATGATATACACATGGAGGATATCGACAGAGTCGTCTGGGCCTACATCAAATGGGACGACCTCGGCTACGACGAGGGTTAGTTGGATTTCAGTTCATATGTACGGTCATGTGCTCGTGCTCACAATACCTTTCATAGCGAGTTGGGATTCTCCACCACGTCGTGGCGAGCCCGGCTACGGCGCCTTCGAGATCGCATTCAGACGCCTTTTGGACTCAAGAGATGTTCATGTCAAGAACACCCAGGAGCACCTGAACAAAATCGACAACCGTAAACATGCTGCATATCGTAGTCGGTACTCGCTTGCAGTTCAGGGCGCAGATTCACAACCGCAGCTTGGTCAGGCCCCGGAGCTTAAGCTCATGCCCTTTCAACGCGACGGTTTCGATTGGCTTTGCGATAATTGGTGGAACAAGCAGCCGTGTATCCTGGCGGACGAGATGGGTCTGGTACGTTTCTCCAAACATCAAACATCCTATCTTTCGCACTTATACGACTTCCGCAGGGCAAGACCGTTCAAATCTGCACGTTTGTGGGCAACATCATGAAACTCATGGACGCCGCGCCCGTACTCGTCGTCGTCCCCAACTCGACCATCACGAACTGGGTGCGCGAATTCAGTCGTTGGGCGCCGAAGCTCCGCGTTGCTCCCTTCTATGGCGAGGCCAAGGCCCGTGAGATCATCAAGAAGTACGAATTGAGACATACAAACGTTTTAGAGGGTACCACGGGCGCCAAGTTCCACGTCTTGGTGACGACGTACAACACTATCACGAACCAGAAGGACTTCGGGCCTGTATTCAAGTCTGTACCACGCTGGGAGTGCTTGATCATCGACGAAGGTCAACGATGTAAGATCTTCTTCCTTACGCTCTCCAATATGCCTTCTCATTCATTGTATAGTGAATAACGACAATAGCTTGCTATTCAAGAAGCTCAACGACCTGTCCGTCATGCACCGCATCATCATGACTGGCGTAAGTATCTATCTTCTCATGAGAGTTGCCGCCCTGAACCGTCTCCCAGACACCGCTGAACAACAACATTCGCGAGCTTTTCAACCTGATGAACTTCCTTGACCCCGACAAATGGTCCGATCTGGAGGCGCTGGAGAAGGAGTACACCGAGCTCACCGAGGACCTCATTAAGGACCTGCATACCAGACTTCGCCCATACTTCCTTCGTCGCATCAAGTCGGAGGTCCTACAGCTCCCGCCCAAGAATGAAGTCATCGTACCTGTCTCTCTCTCGGCGTTACAGAGAGAGATGTACAAGGGCATTCTGAGTACGTTTACCTAGCGTCGCTCAATGTGCTCAAAACTAACGCCCCGTGCAGGTAAGAACGTCAACGTACTGATGAGCCTCACCCAATCGCTTCAGGCGACATCTTCTCGTAACAGCACCGCTGCAGCGTCCCGATCGAACATGAACAACATGCTCATGCAATTGCGGAAGGTCATCCAACACCCGTATCTCCTCAGCCAGGATATCGAGCCAAAGGGTCTCCCACTGCAGGAGGCGCACGAGCGTCTTATCGGCGCGAGCTCCAAACTGCGTCTCCTTCACAGTCTCCTGCCCAAGCTCAAGGCGAGAGGTCATCGAATCCTCCTGTTCAGTCAGTTCGTCATCGCGCTGGATATCATCGAAGACTTCCTCATCGGGGAGCGGTACAAGTACCTCCGCTTAGTAAGTTCTCGCGCACTTCTACATAGCGTATCGGATGTTCATCATATACTTAAGGACGGTAACACCAAACAAGCCGACCGACAGAAGGGAATGGACGAGTTCAACAAACCAGACTCCGATGTCTTCATGTACCTGCTCACTACTCGCGCCGGCGGCGTCGGCATTAACCTTTGGAGTGCCGACACGGTCATCATCTTCGATCCCGACTTCAACCCCCACCAGGATCTACAGGCGATTGCTCGTGCGCACAGGTTCGGTCAGAAGAAGCCTGTTGCAGTCTACAAACTTATGGCGAAAGATACTGCTGAGGGTGCGTCTTCGTATCATATCGACGCGGCCTGGGGCTCACCGTTCACCCAGAACGCATCATTCAAACCGGCAAGAAGAAACTCGTCCTTGACCATCTCATTGTGCAGAAGATGGACGACGATGAGGGTGGCGCGGACGTTCAATCCATCCTGACATACGGCGCGAAGACCCTATTCGATGAGGGCGACCAAGAATCGCGCGAGATTGTTTGTCAGTATATCACCATCTACCCTGTATCTTTGCATTGAACACTCTGTAGACACTGACCACGATCTTGACGCACTTATCGAGCGTACCGAGAACGAGGAGCCGGCGGAAGAGACTAGCAAGGAGGGTGGTGCTGCCAACGCTGCATTCTCCTTCGCCAAAATCTGGACGGCAGACAAGGACGCACTCGAGGAGTTCCCGGACGACGTCTCTGAGAAGCCCGAGGAGTCAGACTCTTGGGCGCTTACACTGCAGAAACTCGCGGAGAAGAATAAGGAGGCGGAGGTGGCGCAAGTCTCTGGTCGTGGAGCTCGTCGTGCCGCCGCCGCTGCGGTGGCTGCTCTCAAACCCCAGGTGCGTTGTTCAGCCCCGTGATTCAACCTGCCTCTAATGCACGCTTCCAGCACTCATTCCATTTTGGCGACACTCCCACGAAGCCTAGGGGTAAGGGCAAGAAGCGCCCTTCCGACTCGGACTCAGACGATGATTTCTCCACCCACCCATCGCCTATCGCCGAAGATTCCGATAGCGACGCTTCGGACGAGTTCAAGCTGAAAGAGCCCACCAAGCGGGATGTAGGCAAGACTCGCGCTGTAGAGGTTGAAGACGATGACCATTGCGGCTTGTGTGGCAAGAGCCATCCAGGTCCATGTATGATGGCGGATATCTCGGAAAACCTTGCTGAGTATCGCCGTATACTCTTTGAGTCATCTGACGAGCCGTACGAGGATCGGGTACGTTGGAATGTTCAGCTTTGCTCTTGCTTCATATTAACGGGGACCTTTTCAGGTCAAGGCCATCGCGGTCATCGACGAGACCCTTCATCTCCGTGGCCATGTCCATCTCATCATTGAACAGCCTTTACTCCTGGCGCCGCCACGTGTGCATCGCATCCACCCCACTGCGAACGGCCACGCCGGTACCCCGCACGTCACGAATGGTTCTGCAGGTTCATCTCGTTTGCCTCTGGCACCCCCTCGGCCTGCACCTCCCCAAGCGGCCCCCGTCGGGACGACTAGCGTGCTTAAATTGCCGAAGGCTATTGCGGTGCCGGCGCTTCCATCGGCTCAGTCCTCCTCCGTGCCGGCCAAACCTCCTGCTGCTCTCAAGGCTGGCTCATCGGCTGGCGTCAAGCGTCCCGCTGAAGCGGAGGCTGAAGCAGGACCGAGCCAGAAGCGCGTTAAGTCGGTGTCATTGACGTGCCCTGTGTGTCAACAACCGGCGACACACGATCTGAAGGAGTGTCCCGACGTTGTTGCTGCGGATATGACCAGGTGCGTGCCGTGAATACAACCTTGTTGTATCAGATACTAACTGGTGTCACAGCATGTCTGCGATCATTAGCCGTCTTGAAGAAGTTGGGAAGCATGATTCCGCTGTCAATATTCTCCGCGGAGTACGGCGACAGTTGAGGAAACGTGAAGCGGAGGCTGCGAGTACCTCTGCAGCTGCATAACCCGCGCTCGTTCGGCTTGAGCATCTCACTGAACTATGCTGAAACTTAGTACTCATCGCTACGTAGAGATTTAATGCATTGTCGTACATTACTATTGCCATCCATTGTTTACTTAGTCTACAACTGCCATATTTTTCCTTTGCTGCTTATTACCATGTATCAATCAATATTCGGGGCCACACGGCCCTCGGGCGCGAGAATGTTTCGATCTCGAACTAGGCGCGCTCCCGTGAACACAGATCAATCTTGCTCTTGACCATATTCATCGGTCTCTGTGGTCGCTCTTGCTCGGCTTGGTCTCCTAACGCGGGGCGCCTATCATATCAACTCTGACCTTTCTTGGAATACCGAGCAGTCTTGTGTGTCAACACGTGTCCTCGTGTTGTAGAGTGATCAAGCCCTGGGCCCTTCTGGATGTATCATCACCCAGGTGGCTACACCCATAAATACCCGTCATCCTACACACCCAGCCAAGGCTATCCGTCCAATCCATACGCCGCGCAGGCTCAGATCGTTCCGTACCACACCGCTGCACCCGTATCGCAACCGCTTCAGCAGACATCTCCTACTGCTTCGCAAGCCTCATCATCGTCATCGAAACACGCAAAACGTCCCCGAAGCGAAGCAATGTCCAGACTCCCAGAACTTCCACAGGCGATCTACAAGATTGCTGCCGCCCACAGCTCCTTGGAGCCCGCGTTCGATCCTGATTATGGTGATTCCAAGTGGATGGAGGCGATTGGACGGATGGTTCTTCCAGCTGTGATCGCGGAGGTGATCTCAACCAAGAGACCTCTGGCTGAGAATATCAAGGTCCGTACAAAGCCGTGCTCTTTGCACCGCGTTCAAGCTCATGACATCTGGCCTGCAGGGCGAGGTTGATAAACGTCTTGAATCAGATACACTCGCGGAGTGGTGCACGCAATGTGAACTGCGTGCACATGTACACTGTGTTCCCACCTTCAAAGAGAGCCTGAATGATCCTGACGTAGGTTTTCTGGTGCCGCTTGACCTATATACACACGGGCTAATTCCCGGGTCCGCGACCTTGTTAGGTTTCTTGCGACATCCTCTATACCTTTGTCGGCGCAGTGCACGCAGCCTCCGGTGTAGATGGAGTGAGATCATGGCTGGGTAGACTGATTGACCCGGCATACGAAGAGAATAACGAGAACGCGTTTAAACGGGCCAAAATCGAACCCATGACGAATGGCTTCTCGTCACAGCCACCGCCGCCTACATCTCAACCACCGCCGCCGCCTACGAGTGCCCCGCCACCGGTACCTTCTGGACCATCGAACAGCAGTGTATCGCTCTCCTATCTCAATCAGGTAGCCTCCCAGCGTAGGATCAATGTGGCGTGGAACACTAACATGAGTGGACCCTCTCACAACCCTCAATGGACCGCCGAATGCGTCTGTAAGTCTTTGCCTCCGTAATGTAGTAGTAAGGCCACTGATCAGGGTCAACGTTCAAGTGAATGGCATTGTCAAGGGCACTGGCATAGCCCAAAGCAAGCAAGCGGCCAAAGAGCAAGCCGCTCGTAGCACCGTGCACATGATGGGTTTTTGAAAGGCACAGGTACGTTCTCCTGGCCCCCAGACTATGGTCTCCAGGCTCACTGGTGTCGCACAGCTCTTCGTCATAAAAGCTTACGATGCCCACATAACCCGCAATGTTCCGGGTACTTCACCGTTCTCACATCTATGCGCTTGCTTGATTATCGATCTATCTTGCACCTCTATCTTGCTGTCTGTCTGCCTTGAACATGCCTGTGCCCTAGCTAGAACGTTGTATTTCGAGCGAATGTATACTTCATTTCCTTGTACTTTTACATCTTAAATGACGTTTGGGTTACCCTCATACGCCCAATCCCAAAAGTATGCCGGAGTCGATACGTTGACGCCATTACCACTCGCGAAGAGACCGACTATTGTTCCGACAAAGCCACCGCTGACTTGACTCGAGTTGCCCCACCCGACAGTCGTCCACGAATCAGTATCGCGCGACGCGTAGCGGAATTCGTACGTGGTATAGTTCACCGCCTCAACTTGCAGCTTCAGCGGCTCTTCGGCGCGTGTATCGGGCAATGGTAAGATAGCCGGTCCTGAAAGCGGATCGCTAGCGCCTTCGTTGGTTGAGTTAGCTGTAATCGTGCGCAGACGGATATAGCGCGCAATGTCCGTGGTATTGCTAAAGTCGTTGATTGTGTAACCTGCTGCGCGCGCGGACTCGGCCGAGAGCGTGACAACGCCGAGGTCGAAGTGCTGGCCCTCTGCACGCGACAATCATCAGCGCGCAGTCAAAGGGTGTCACAAAACCGGCTTACGGTTCAGGAATACAGTGATTCCTGCCTCGGCGCCGTCCTCCGTGGCATTGAAGAATACATTCACATTGAACGAAAACTCAATGTGCTCTTGCCGCCGACCCACGAATGTTTGCGGCGTCGGTGCGGTACGGCCATCCGGACCCGTGAGGTTCGTAGCGCTGGGCACAAGCGCCAGAGAATCGTGATGACCAAGAACGGTCTGGCCAGTCAGATAGGCGGAAGGATCGGGGAAGCGTTGGTGAACGAGGTGGTAAGGAAGAGAAGAGCCTTTCGGGAAGGTCAATGTCTCCGACGCTTCGCCCACCCAGTATCTGGCGCGAGTCAGCTTGAATGGTGCAAGGGTGAGAACATGACTGACCCATCGCTGTCAATGTCCTTGTTTACGGGAGGTAGAGGGCCGGATTCCGTACCGTTGACGACGTCGAAGACAGGATAATCGCCCTGAGGCCATGCAGCCGGTGTGAGGGTGGTCTCGCGGCCCATAGGATAATAAACGTATCCCGGTCCTGATCGCGTTGACAAAGCAACCGCCCACCTAAGCACGGATATGAGTATCGCTTGCTTATGGCGAATCCCGGAGCAGCGCCCATGGCCTACCAGTTGCCTTGCGTGTCTTGGAAGAGGTCAGCATGGCCTACTGTCTGAACTAGAGATCTCAGTCAGCACAGGGCCCCCGATCGGCGGAGTGGAAGGGATGATGTACAAGGCGCCGTTGTGTTAGCAGCGGTCAGCAGCGGGTTTCGGGGCGCCCCTTCGTAAGATCCCCACATTGCGGGCGCCTTGGCCATATTGACTTCGTGTCCCAGGCCTGTGCCGCCTTCCGCGATCATCAGATAGTACCCATCATCTCTCAGGAATAGGTGGGGAGCTTCCGGCGCCTGTATCCGAGTTCGTTAAGCGATAGACCCACGGGAATGCAAGCCTTTACTCACGATGCCACCTTCGCCGGGCCAGAGGTCGTGCACATCGCCGATAATGTCGCCGGTGATGAAGTCGAGCTGGAAGCCTTTGATCATTTCCTGTAGAAACCATTAGTGTACGCCCTTAGTTTCTGTACAACAAGGGAACCTCGATCTTCCAAGCGTGACTGCCGACAATGTATGAGGTGCCGTTCGCATCCCAGTAGGGGGAGGTGTCATAGCCTTCGAACTCGAAATGAACAGGATCAGACCACAGGCTGGAGTCGTAAGGGTTGGAGGTCTGGAAGATGATCTAGGGAACGATTAGACTCTGATGGACTGTGGAAGGCGTCGTGAGCTCACATTGTCCCAGCGAGAAGTGTCGTTCGCAGTCTTGTTGTCGTACACGAGCGTAGTGACGACGAAGAAAGTGTCATTGTGATAGCGGATTGTAGGAGCCCATATGCCGCCCGTGGAACCGTTCGTGGTGGCGAGTCCTGGAAGCTCTGCGGTGGCCAACGTTTCAGCCACAGTTGGATCTATCAGGACCATTGTCATGCTCACGGTCTTCGCGAGTGATCACGTTTCCGATCTGTCGAAAGTTCTGAAGGTCGCGGCTGGCGAAAACGGGCACGCCGGGTACTGCGTTGAACGAACTCGTGGCGCAGAAGAATGTATCGTTCCACTCGGTCACGAGCACGCAGGAGGGATCTGGGTGGAAGCCAGGCAGCACCTGCTACCGGTCAAAACAGGACGCGGAGATCACGACGTCTGTAGGAGGCAGTACCGGGTTATGATACGTTTTGTTTTCTGCGGCGTGGGCTTTTCGGACGGCAAGGAACGCGAGAAGCGCGACGAGAGAAGGCAGGAGCATGCCGGAGGAGGTACTCTGCGCGATTCACCCGCGTTCGCGGTTTTGTACAGACACGACTGGGGCTCCAAGTTGTGGCAGATGACGAGCGCGCGGGCCGGTAAGGGCATCGAACATCAGCAAAAAGCGGCACATGACCGGGTATGTGTATTGATGTAGTAGGGAAGGGGTAGGATATACGCCGAGGTACTCTAAGGAAGGTGATGAATGTTGAGGAGATGGTGGTTCTGTTCGGAGAAGCGGCAGGCGCGGGCGGGACGGAACCAGATGTGCGGCGGGCCAATGTGCGAAGAGAATGAATAAGCAGGTCCATCGCCGTTTGCAGAGCGCCAACTTTGCTTGGGTTTAATGGGTGAAGCGCGCTCTGGCCGGGGTTGAACAGTGACCACCACCACGAGGGCGACATGGCGCTCGAGGCCCAACCGCCGCCGATGTCTGGTCTCCCACGCGAGACGCCGATCGACCTCACGACGGACGACGACGAGCAACCGAAGCCCGGCACGCCCGGCGCGGCCTTCCCTCCCCCGCAGGCCGCATATCCCTACCCGCTCCCCTACTACGCGCCCTACCCCCCGCCGCCCGGCCAGCCGTTCCCGATGCACCACCCGTACCCCGGCTATTATCCCTACCCGCCCCCGCCGCCCGACTTGAACGGGGGCCACCCGTACCCGCCCCAGTTCGTGCAAGGGAGCTCTATGTCCGGC